AGACTAAAGGGAATGTCATTTGAGTAAGTTTGTGAGTTGTTCTTTAATCCAATATACGGTATGAATTGCTAAATTCTTTTATTTTTTATTGTTCAATATTTTCATATCCTTTTATTTTGATTGATGTTAAGTGCTACTATCTTTTCATGAGTTCAATTATATTTTTCTCATTGTTAAGAATTGACTTAACATGCTTTTAAATTAAAAGATTAGATATTAAGGAACTCCCTTTTCTGAACAATTATTAATAAAAGATAACATTGAAAAAGTAAATTGGTTTTAATTTCTTTATCTTCCGGTTAAAATTTCTCAATGATAATTTTAATCGAGTTTAATTTGGATTAAAGAGCATGAGACATATTTTGCTTAAAGAATTGAACCTTGATGCCTTAGCAATTCCATTATTGATATTTCATTTTTAAACTCAATCTCTACAACAATCAAATCAAATTACTTATCCATTTTGCTTGTCACTTTTATTTTGGTACTTTTAATTATTTCTTTGTGTGCAGACATTTGCTTACCTGCTCCTTGAGGATACGATACTTGGACTTCCAAGATTATTACAACGTGTGACTACTTGCACTTGGGTAGACACAACACAAAGGACAAGGGCAAGTAAGGGCAAACCACTATTAAAGTGAATAGTGACTGCGTTAGCAATTTTTCGATGCATTCCCACCCATTGCCATGGCAACCCAAGGGCAACCACTATTTATATGAGATATGAGGAGAGGAATTTGTATGGATTTTGGTGTGGGAAGTGAAGAACATGGCTAGGTACTTATAGAAAAAAAAATCTGAATTTTTTGGTTTTTTTAAATTAATTTTTTTGTATTTAAATTAGTCACTAACGTCAAGCGAGCGTCAACATGACGTCAACTTGCTCATATAAGTCTTGCCTTTGGGCTTGCTCAGTTTCGTGGGCCACTTCTTACCATGACAACTTGACCTTTATAGGCTTTGTTTTTGGAGCCTAGAACCAAATCGACTCATTCACTGTCCTAGTAAACAAGCATAACCAGGGGCGGAGCCACACTGGGACCAGTGTGGTCACGGGCCCCCACTCAATTGTTTTATATTTTAAAAGTAATATACTGTTATGTATTTCTATATGTATATTATTTCAAATACTTTACGTCTTGATATGTACTAACATGTGTTGTGGAGGGCCTATTAAGGCACAAGGAGTTGTTTCAAATTGCCCATTTGCTTAGCTGGTAGTGGTGCACTCCAAGTAAATGTCTTTGTCCTTTTACTTTTATTTATTTTTATATTACTTCATTTACTTAAGTTTACAATGTAAATAAGGAAGTACCCCCCATTTGGATTCAAATAAAAATACTAGAAAATCAAATTCCCACCAAATCAAAATATGAAAAATCGGTTTTAGTGCAAAATACGATTTAGGCTAAAAATGATGGCTCATTAAATCAATATATACTTCATACTAAAATCCCATAAAATCAAGTTTTCTTATTTGATGTGTAAGGAATAAAAGCCGCCAAAAATTATCTTGAGAAAATGATTATTCAGAAAAACCATTTTTCATACTTAATCAATATTTTTACATAAAATATTTTTCCATGTATGATAAGAATGCATGAAGCGACCTAAGGATTTTTTAAAGTTTGTGAAATTTTGATTTTTTTTTTCTTTCTATTGGGTTTAATGGGGGGAAAAGCTTTAAAGATATTTGCTAAATCGCTACTCTTTGTCTATCTCTTGCAATTTTTCTTGCTCAGAATGTATTTGTCTATCCCTTTGTTGAGGACAATTATGATTGCAACCAATAAGCAATATAATTCTTGACATATGTGATATATATATATATATATATATACTATTTTCGTATGTATTGTGAGTTCGAATTTTTGATTCTTTATAATTTGTAAGAGGCCCCCACACACATGAAATCCTGGCTTCGCCACTGAGCATAACTTAACGTCTACGACAAAGAAAATTATATATGCTTATTTTGGTATGTAATGTTCTTGCTTTCAATTAAAACCAAACCACAATGAGAAATGCCGGTGGGTCGGCACAGACCGAATATGGTGGTGCAATGTAACTTGTCAGGCGGAGAAAAGAACAGAAAAAATAAATTGTTGTTTGACATGCGTAGGACCAGAAGTACCGTCACTTGTCACGTTCCTCATGTATGGGGAATAAATAAAATAAGAAACCGCCAAGAAAATTTCTAATAGTTATTAATTTTTAAATATCATGTTAATTAACATGGTATTCTGACTTTCTCAAAAAACAATAAATGAAAACAAAAACAAAAGCCTGGTACTCTATTAGATAATTTCTGATTGGAATAAATAATTTAGAAAAAAAGGTTTAATACAATTTATTTTAAGTGATTGAATACAATGCTTAACATATTTTTCAGGACATTTTTTATTGAGAGAGGCGATATAATATACTAAACTCACACACAACAAGGATATTAGAACTCGAGCCCAAGAAAACAAAGAAAACAATTAAATCATTTGAAAATGAGTGCATTTTTTCTTTCCACTTCTAAAACAAATATAAAAGTTTATGTAATTTTTTTTTTTCTCCTAATGGCTTCATAGTATGGCTTATTTTTGGACGGTACCAATAATTTAGGGTATTATATATATATATGCCAATCCAATCATATAAAGGTGTGAGCCCCATGACTTCCATTTGCAACATCTTTCCAAGCAACTGGCATATGATCTCATGATTTTGATCTAATTTCATATTATTATGTCAATTGGGCGGGTGGCTTAGTGAGTACACGCAAAAGACATCTTCTTTTCTTTCTAGATTTTTGATTATTCTTCGGATCCTTCTTCTACATCTTAAACACACACAACAATTTTCTCATTATTATTTTTTCCCCTCTTTCTCAATATACTAACATTTTGGGAAGGAAAACGATCATGTCATGGATATTTTTATTATAAGTGCTTCCATCACAACTGTTCATCTTGTTATGGTCAAGATCTGATCTTGTCAATAATTGTTGCTTAATGCGTTAAGTTGTGTCAACATCGAAGAATTATTTTATCCAACTGCAAAATTGTCATGTGATGTTAATAATTCACGTATTATAATATCAATAGATTTACTTTCGTCTATTCTCATTATAATATAAATTGATTAATAACACCACGTAACAATATTACAATAACACTAAAAATATTATTTTGCCCCTGCATTTAACTGAAAAATTGACAAAAGTAATGGTGTGACTAGTTGTCTAAACGAAACTAAAATTAAAGGACCACAGGAACCATTTTGAAAATTGAAGTACTCAAATGCAAATCGAGTCTAAATTCATGGACTAATAAAACGATTAACCATTTCATTGAGCAATATGACCAGCTACCATTGCTGATACTATAAATAGGAAGTCAATTCATAGTTTAAAGTAGATAGGTAACCCGTCAATTATATAGTAAAAAGCAGCCATACATAAAACACAAGTGTCATATTCTTAAGCAGTGACAAAAATCATAGCCACGTAAGGGCAGTCAAAAAATATAGACCACCAATTTCAACCATCTTAGCTCAACACCTTTTATAAATACATTAAATTATCAGTGATTTACGAGAAACACTTTTATAAAATGGGAATAACATTATTTTGTTATTTCTAACCAATTATAGAATATCATATGAAAAAGTTATCATACGTGAAATACTGTAATTGGTCGAAAATAGCAAAATAATGCTACCCCTGTTTCATGTAAGTGTTTCTCGTAATTTACCCAATGTAAAGCTTTGGTATTGGATCAACATCCATTTCTCTAGTACTTTCTTTTTCTTTTTTAAGTTCATATATTCATAAATAAATAAAATGGATTAACTACATTTTAGTCCCTGGAGGTTTAGGGTCAGTATCGAAATGGATCCCAAAGTTTCAATTTCATTAATTTCATACTCGACATTTCAAAGTATGACCAATTTACACCGGCCGTCACATCGACCGTCAAAGTTAGACATTAAATGTTGACGTGATAGTCGTGGGACCCACATCATAACCTAACGGTTAATGTAATGGGCGGTGTCAATTGGTCAAATTTTAAAATATCGGGTATTAAATTGATAAAATTGAAACCTTGGGACCCATTTCGATACTGACCTTAAAACCCTAAGGACTAAAATGTAGTTAATCCATAAAAAATAAAAACATCACAAATAACGTGTTAGATAAAAACAAAAAACAAAAAAGTAGAGGGTCCATGCTCACATGATCGGCGTGACGCAACTACACACCTAACACATATTTACTTTAATAAAAATGCTTAGTTGTAATACTTTTTCTTGTAATTATAGTCGAAATTGTTGTATAAAATTAAAGCTTAGAGGCCCGTGGTGGCTTCAGAATGCATGGGAGGCTTTTGTGGGTGAGAAAGATGACATGTGAAAATGGACCCCGATGGTCATTGAGAAGCCAAAAAAATGTGGCTAATAGCAAAAGGGGGCTGAAAAGGTAATAGAATTATGGCCGTCATGTCCCCGTTATCCATACACGCATACATCCGTGGTAATCCAAACACCTAGGATGGTTTTATTTTATTCAAATATTATAACCTAAGATTTGAGTAATATATAGTAGGATTAATGGTTTGACTATGATGTATTATGTATATATATACCAGGATTAATTTGATCTTAATTAAATAATAACAACACAACAAAGTCTGAGTCACGAGATAAATTTAGACTCGAACCGAAGCATAACATGTGTTACGAAATCTGAATCGTAGATAAAATGGGGGTTTACTTTTTAAAAAGATACACGCCGATTATCGAAAAAACCGCGAAATTGCCATGTCACAGTCAAGCTTTGTTTTTAGGGGATGTAAACAACTTGTTTTAACTTTTAACCAGGATCAACCCTAATTACAGTTCAACCCACCCCAACCCCCTTCTGTCTTCTCCTATACATATATGCACATGTGTTAGTAATATATGCATTAGTGGAGTAACACAAGGTGGGTTTTTAACTCATTATCTCTGCATATATATATATATATATATATAGAGAGAGAGAGAGAGAGAGAGAAGGCGTGGCCAAGAAATAAAAGGGAGCTCATTTATTTGATTCCAAATTCCCAAGTACGTCTCTGTTTCACCCAGTTGGACTTGGACTTTTTGTTTTTGTTATAGTTTTTATAGAATTTGGGTTACGTTTCGAATTGTTGATCATTTCTCAATTCAAACGTTTCAATCCAAGAACCCATCATTTACATATATAAAGACAGAAAATTAAGAAGCTGCAGCAAGTGGTCTTCTTCTTCCTTCACGGAAACCAGAGCAAACGTGTCATTACATGGTGTCCGTAAGAAAAGGTGCAGAGGAGGAGGTGGACAAGAGGAAGAACGCGAGTAATTGCAGTAACAAGGGAATGCGACTGGGAAAATACGAGCTTGGAAGGACTCTTGGTGAGGGCAATTTCGGCAAAGTCAAATTTGCCAAGAACGTCGACTCTGGACAACCCTTTGCTGTTAAGATCCTCGAGAAAACCAGAATCATTGATCTCAAGATCACAGACCAGGTCAGTTTCTTTTCCCTTAATTTTTTTTTTCTAAAAGAAATGGTCTTTTTGCTCAAAGTTTCAATCTTTCATTGATGGGTTCTGTTTTTCTCTTTCAACAATTCATTATTGTTTAATTCTTTCCTCAAAGTTTTAATCTTTCATTAATGGGTTTTCTGGGCAGTGTTCAATCGAAACTGAAATTGACATTCATGATTTTTTTTTTTAAAAAAAAAAATTATATTTTCTGAGTTTTGGACGTTTTGCTTTGTTTTCAAGAACACAATAACACAATTTTAGAAGAAAAAATTTGCAGATAAAGAGGGAGATTGGCACTTTGAAGCTCCTGAAACATCCCAACGTTGTCAGATTACACGAGGTATGCATTGCTTCTCCTGCTTCTTTCTAGAGCTCTGTTATTAACAGTGTTTTTGTTTGTCCATTACTGTCTAATCCAAGAATCATGACCCCTAATTATCACTATAATTACCATAATCTCTTCCCACTAATTTGTAATTTTTTGTGATAATGACAACCCCATTTAGCTGTGTTTTTTTTGTTTGTTGCGGTAGCAAGCACAGTTGTTATTTACTGTGGTAACTTTTCTAATTTTTACTTGGCTAATCATTTCAATAACGCGTCACATGACACATTAGTACCCCATTTTGCTTATCGTTTCCTCAAATAAAGGTAAGCATATAACAAAAACAGTTTCTAGATTTTCGTTTACCGTTCCATTCTCCGTGATCTGTTTAATCTGAACCGCACATTCAAACACGATATTTATGATATGTTTAATCTAAATCACACTATTCAAACACGATCTGTACGTTTATATTGCAATGGGAAATATCTTAACTCTGTTTTATTTGTTCGTGTCGCGGTTTGCACGGATTGCTTTATTCAAGAGGTCTCCACCCGGGTTGATTTGATCAATCACCCTAATATACTTTTACCCTCACTGAAAAAAAAAAAAAAAAGTTGGTCCTGTAAAAAAGAAAAGAAAAGAAAAAAACTTTTTGTTGGTTATTGAGATATTTTCTTGTGTATTTAAGGGGATCCATCAACCAGTCCAGCCTAGCCACGTGTATACAGTAATGGTAGATATACCCATCTCTGCTACAGTTTGCATGGACTGGGTGACCTGACCTCACTTCAACAACCATATTTTCAGAATGGGCCCACCCATGTAACCTGGATAAGACTAAGATCATCAATATGGTCTTAATTATGGTCACCAAGGGAGGGCCATGTCTTGTCAATTGTCCCCTAAAATGAAAATGATTGCTTCAAGTTGCGTAAGGGTTTCTTTAAACCCTAAATAGAATCATAGGATGAATTAGTCATATAGACAGAAACACTATAATAAATTTAAAAGGAAATTAGTTTTAATAAGAAAGAAGAATGGAAAATGATAATTTTGGATAAGGATGGTGGTGATGACTATGAATTATATATGTGGAGTTTTAGAATATGGGTTTTGTTGATGCAGAGAACCGGGCTTGGTTTGCCTTTCTACAAAGGTGGATGGAACACATTTTGATTTGATTAAGTAAAAGCATTTGAACTCAATTCAATATGTCCCCTTGGTCAACAAATGTAATCAAATTTGTTTGGTATTCAACAAAACAATACCTTGTAAATAATATTATGGGTGTCATTGATAAAAATCACATCCCAACCATTAGCATAATTACCGCTGTTATCGGTTCGATCTTTGATCTATTTATAATGCTGTAAACTGTAAACTAGATTTTTCTCTCTCTTTGTTCTCATCATTGGTATTAGGACTTTCAACGCCATGGCCAACAATGCTTTGTATTAATCATGCTGATTATGCTTATCTTGCAGGTTGTGGCAAGCAAAACCAAGATTTACATGGTCCTAGAATATGTTACTGGAGGAGAGTTGTTTGACAAAATTGTAAGGAGCCCTTACTCTAATGCACAGCTTTTTGTATCAGAAGGCAGGAAGTTGAATAGTTGATGATACTAATAAGTTACTCTCTGTTTCAGGCACACAAGGGAAAACTTACAGAAGCCGAAGGCAGGAGTTCTTGTTGATGCCAAGGGGAACATAAAGATATCAGACTTTGGCCTCAGTGCTTTGCCCCAGCATTTTAGGGTACATTACTCTTCCAAACCAAACTTTTTTAAGTGATAAGTTTGGTGTCTAGTAACTTAACCCTTTAATTCTGTCTGATATATCAGGAAGATGGGTTGCTTCATACAACCTGTGGAAGCCCCAACTATGTTGCTCCTGAGATTCTTGCTAATAAAGGGTACGATGGTGCCACCTCTGATATATGGTCATGTGGTGTCATCTTATACGTCGTTCTTACCGGATTTCTCCCTTTCGATGATAGAAATCTTGCAGTTCTCTATCAAAAGGTGTTGACAATAACTCTCTTTGATTTTCTTGTGTTTGTTGTATGGCTTTAGGAATGAAGAATTTTTATTATTATTTGCATTTGCATCACTTTGATGCTAACATTTTTAGAGGGATTTCAGATCTTGAAGGGGGAAGTTCAGATACCCACATGGCTATCACCTGGTGCAAAGAACTTGATAAAAAAGATTCTTGATCCCAACCCTGTTACCAGAATAACAATGACAGGCATCAAGTCAGATGAATGGTTCAAGCAGGATTACTCTCCTGCGAATCCTGATGATGAAGAAGAAGATATAAACGTTGATGATGAAGCTTTCTCAATAAATGAAGTGGTATGAATATGCAATTCATGTCCATTGCCTACCTTTTTTTTTGTACATCTTTCAGTTTCTTTTATGCTATAACTGAGAACCATTTCTTTTACCTTTTGGTATAGCCATCTGAGGGGGAGAGGAGTCCAGACGCCCGGCACTCGCACACCCATATAAATGCCTTTCAGTTGATTGGAATGTCCTCATGTCTAGACCTCTCTGGCTTCTTTGAGAAAGAGGTGAGGGCAAAAGCTTACTTACAGTAGTTTTGTAAAACAATTTTTGTCTTCTTTGTTTGGCATTGAGTATTTCATTATCTATTACTGAAGTTGAAAGCTCTTTCTGATTGTGGGTTAATTTAGGATGTGTCTGAGAGGAAGATCAGATTTACATCCAACCACTCTGAAAAAGATTTGCTTGAAAAGATTGAAGAAATTGTACTAGAGATGGGATATTGTGTCCAGAAGAAAAATGGAAGGGTTAGTAGCTTTATATCCTCATTTTCTACTCATGTCCAGAAATATTAAAGTTTCAATGATAACTGGTATAATTTATGTTTCCTTCGTCAATGCAATATCGACTGAAATATGGTTTTGTTTATGTCCAACATTTCAGTTAAAAGTGATGCAAGAGCACAAAGGGGAGAGAAGTATGGGTAGTTTATCAGTTGCAGCAGAGGTATTTCATTTCAAACTCTTGGAGGGTTTTCTTCCTGACAAAATATTTGTGCCTGGCATGCAATTTAATTAATTTCTGACCACATAAACTTTTTCTTTCAATGTTTAATCCTTCCTCTGTGACAATTTTATTACTTGAATTTTAACTGATAGTTGTCTCCATAATTGCATCAGGTGTTTGAGATAAGCCCATCTTTATTTGTTGTTGAAATAAGAAAGTCATATGGTGATTCTTCTGCATATAGACAGGTAGATATTCTTCTGAATAGTGCACAGCTTGTTTACAGTCCTATCTGCAAGTCCCCCTTCTCTCTCTTATTTCAGGAATTAAAATCAATTTCTTTTGCTATGTGCAGTTGTGTGAAAAGCTATCAAATGATTTAGGTGTTCCCGCAAGCCAAGGGTTGTTGACTAGCCAAGTGTGAAAACCATGTTCTTTGCAAAGTCAAACAACATGGTATTTAAAGCCTTGGAGAGATGTAGATAGTATAGAATCCTATATTACGATTTGTGTAAATTTTCAGTTTTGGATGTATGTCAGTGTTAATATGTAAGACTCGAGTAAATGTGAAATATATTTTTGATTGCAAGAAGATATCCTTGTGAAGAAGTCACCGGTACCAATTGTGTTTATCGTCCCCTGAATCATTTCATACTTTATTTTTTCATCTACGGGGAACGGGAGATTCGAACTTGAGACATCTTCCAACATTAGAAAGACAAAAACCACTAGATAAATAGTCTGAGTAATTTCGTACTTGTAAGGAAAAAACTTGAAAGCTAACACAAATTTTCTAAGCAATCATTATTATTTTCTGACTCAACAACTATTGTCTATGGGGTTTGAATAGATTCATCACACCTCATACGCATTATAGACGTCTGGCTATTTTTTTTGGATCAACAACAGGTTCTAAAACAGTAGGACCTCTTGACAATGATAGCCTACATAAGTATTTTAGCATATACAGTGGAATTGATCTATTTACATGGTGAATGAGAGTAACTACGAATAACCCTTCAACCAGATGCAAGCAAATCTAATTTGCAAGGCTGCTGTCAAGATCTCCACCATGTATCAAGCTTCTGTTGTCTGCACGTTGAAGTTTCTCGGTCAACACGGTCTTGTACTGCTCATCTCTGTGCTTAAAATTGCGCATAAATTCAACCTGCCAGAGATAGGATGACAAATAAGATCATTCAGACAAAATTACCTGTCAGAAAATCGATGTCTTTGACAAGTACTGTGCATGGGAAAAAGCTAACATTAGTTCAAATAATAAATGTAGACAAGGTGATCCAAAAAGAAAAAGAAAGCAAAGAGAATACTTTTTATATAATTTTTGTGTCTAATCTCTTCAAAGAACAAATTTTCAAAAGACATGATCTAGTATATATTTACCTGGAACTTGTTCAGCCGATCAGCTAGTTTTTTGATTGCTTCTTGCACATCTTGCTCGCTACATAGGTCGTCAAACTCCATCTCCACGGAGGAGACCTCTTGAGCAGCTTGACCAGAGTTTTCACTCATTTTCGGGTGGCTCTGCTAATAATAGTAGGGCCTGGAGAAAAGCATCAACAGAAATTCAAAATTTCCGAAAACGTAAACATGAAGATTGCTGCTATTTCCACCACTTTCGACTAGTTTCACAACCACCACATTTGACTCCATCACTCACTAACGGACCATCTAATCAATTTCTCTACTGAAACACAAAGACAATAGCTTGTAAGGATGCTATACATTCTTTATTAAAATCACGGGAGAGAATGCCATGTTGGATAGCTAATTACATATACATCACACCTAGGATACTATACTTTGTAGGCATCTGGCTATTCTTTCTTTAGGAACCAACAGGTTCTACAACATTGGACCCCTGAACAATAATATCTTACACCATTACAAGAGAAATTTGGTATATATACAGTTCAAATATTTCTATTTACATGGTGAATGAGAGTAACTACAGATATCTCTTCAACCAGATGCAAGCAGATCTAGTTTCCAAGCCTGCTGCTAAGATCTTCACCAGACACCTGGATCAAGCTGCTACTGTCGGCAATTTGAAGTTTCTCATTCAATACGGTCTTGTACGGCTCATCTTCGTCCTCGAAATTGCGCATAAATTCAACCTGCATATACAGGAAGAAAAAAAATCATTAAAATACAACTGCCTACAGGAATCAATGTCTTTAACAAGTAATGTGAAAGGCAAGAAGCTAATTGTAGTTCAGATAATTAATGTAGATAAGGCGTTCCATAAACATGAAATAAAGTACAAAATAATGGTCCACCAAAAAATTTCAAAGAAGTGGCGCATCAATCTGATAGTCCTTTTAATACAAGTTTTCGTGGCTCACTACTTCGAATGTGAAATACAGCAATCTTTACCTGTCTCTGAAACAAATCAAATTCATCTGAGCTAAGTGAACCATCACTATTTGCATCAAGGAGCTGCATCATCTCACGTGCATCTTCCCCTGGGGCACCAAGCTCTTCCATCACCTCCATAAGTTCCTCAATATTGATCCTACCATCTCCATTCTTGTCAAGAAGGCGGAATACTCGATCGCTCTGACTCTGCTCCGTCTCAATACCTTCATGATTCGTGGACGGAATATCTTGAAGACGCAACGCCGCAAATTCAGCTGCAGCCATCATTATGGCCTTGAGTCGCTTTGCCTGATCATCATCAACGAGTGATTGTAAGTCACATAACAGGCAAAGATATACCATTTCAAGTACATTTACAAGCTTAATGCGCAGGACAACCATTCAAAATTAGCATTCATAAAGGGCATATATCAAACAACCTCTTCTGGGTCTGTAAGACCACTCTTGTACAATGAGTGGGATGCCGTTCCAGCATCTGCCAACATGTCCATCTCCTTAGTCCTTATTTGTATTTCCATCAATGGTCTACTCTTGCCACAGTCACTAACATCAACAGCCATATGTAAACTCCTGTACCCATTTGCCTTAGGCCTGGCAATGTAATCTTTTGTCCTACGAGGCATTTCCTTCCACAAAGATTGAACAACTTCACGCGTCCTGTAACAAGCGCTTTCCCCTACTTCTGCCATATCTTCGCCACTCCTAGGCTCCAATATGACTCTCAATCCTAACACATCATGCACTTGCTCTGGCTTCCTACCATCTTTCAACAGCTTCTTCATGGTGCTAAACCGACTCTTATACCGACCATCAACTGAAACATCAACAACCATGCCTGCCAACAAAGGATCAACTCTCAACGACTGCAAGAGCTGTTCCTTGTATACATCAACCAGAGGCTTACTTCCACTCTCATGACTTTTCAACCATGTATCAACATAAAGGTAGGAATGGGGAAACAAGTACTGAAACGAGAGATCCTCCAGCTCCAGTGACAGCCAGTTGGTCCCAACAGCATGAGCTAAAGGTGCGTGAATCTTCATAACCTCTAGAGAAATCGATTGTTGCTGATACCTTGGGAGGTAACCAAGATGTCTCATCATGTCAAGCCTGAGAACCAAGTCTAAAATCACAGCCCTCATATCGTAGTACGTCAAGCAGAACTTTCTCAGCGCAGCAGCACTGCCATCATCCAAGACATCAACTTTAGAAGGGACCTTCATGACCCGCAAGCTTTCGTGCAATAAATGGGCAGTGCCAGTACCAATCTGGTTTCTAACATCAAGAATTGAAACTGCACCAGCCTCCAGAACTGGTCTGAGTATCCCAGCCGAGATAACTTCAGCATCCATCTACATCAATCAAATTCACTGAAAACCCATTAATGGTTTCATCAAAATTACATAACTGAAGGTCCAGATAGTGAAAAAAAAAGTCCATACCTGAAGGTCTGCGAGAAGGAGAGAAATAGACAAGGCCCTGGAGAGCGAGGAACGACCATCTGGGGTTAGAGGCAAAGCGTGGAGCAGAGGAATGGAGAGCTTGAGAGCCTTGAAGAGTAACTGGGACCCACTGCTGGAAAGCATCCCCATCCTCTCTGTGAGCTCGTTGAATGCCCCCACCAGCTCAACCACCATCTTCCCTCCTGTCTGTTCCAGCAGAAACGACCGAGTTTTCAAGAAACCCAGTCTTCGAATTCGCTGAGTACAACATCTTTGCAGGGTCACAGTACCCGGGACTATCCGTACACGATCATGGGTTTTGGGTATTGGCTCCTGATGAAGAAGACGAGGATGATGACGTGGATAGTACAGCTCCATAGATGGAAGCTCCATGCTTATGTCTCTGCTTTGTTCGTGGTGGAGAGGTAAAGAGTAGACAGACAGTGAGGAGGACAACATAAGGATATGCTTGTAATTTTATCAACTTTATCCTCTTTTAAACTCGTCAAAAAGTAATTTTTGGTCCTGAAAGTTTGCTGTGTGATTTAAATTCTCTCAATTGGATCCCTATAGTTCAATTCAATAACACATTTAAATTTCCATCCAATTCTATGGAGATGCTTGTAATTTTATCAACTTTATCCTCTTTTAAACTCGTCAAAAAGTAATTTTTGGTCCTGAAAGTTTGCTGTGTGATTTTAATTCTCTCAATTGGATCCCTATAGTTCAATTCAATAACACATTTAAATTTCCATCCAATTCTATGGAGTAAGAGCATCCGCAATGATGCTCTCTATTTCTTAGCTAAAATTTAGCTAAAAATATAAGAAAGCTATTTTAGGAGCTCTCTAAAAAATTTCAACTCCAACCATACTCCCTAATTTGGAGAGTCATAAATGTTATAACTCTTTTTTGATTGGTTTATCTCTATTAAAAAATAAAATAAAAAATAGTTAGAATTAAATAAAGGTTTGAAATACTTATTAAATAAGGCAGCATTAAATTATAGGGAGCCACTAGGAGTACTTTCTTTCTCCTCAGATTTAGGAGCTCCTAGAGAACTCCCTATTTTAGGAGGTGGATAGGGAGCATGGTTGGAGTTGCATTTTTACAATTCCTCCCTAAAATTTGTCTAAAGAGGTGGTTTTAGGGAGCCCATTGCGGATGCTCTCTATTTCTTAGCTAAAATTTAGCTAAAAATATAAGAAAGCTATTTTAGGAGCTCTCTAAAAAATTTCAACTCCAACCATACTCCCTAATTTGGAGAGTCATAAATGTTATAACTCTTTTTTGATTGGTTTATCTCTATTAAAAAATAAAATAAAAAATAGTTAACATTAAATAAAGGTTTGAAATACTCATTAAATAAGACAACATTAAATTATAGGGAGCCACTAGGAGTATTTTCTCTCTCCTCATATTTAGGAGCTCCTAGAGGACTCCCTATTTTAGGAGATGGATAGGGAGCATGGTTGGAGTTGCATTTTTACAATTCCTCCCTAAAATTTGTCTAAGGAGGTGGTTTAAGGAGCCCATTGCGGATGCTCTAAGGGTCTGTTTGAAAGTACTTCTAGAATGGCTAAAAGTGCTTCACGACAACCAAAAACATCTTTAATAGCGTTTGACAGAAATACTTATAAATGATTTTGGCCCACAAATAGGCTTTCTAGAGAAACACTTAGCATATGTTTCTTTAACATAAGCACTTAGATTTTCAATAAATTTTGAGTGTTGCTAAACGAACTCTAAAATTAACCGAGTACACCATACTAGCAAAGTATTTATTGAATTACTAATTTACCCTAATATAAAATGACCAACAAGGATATATTGAATTGTAAAAAAAAATTATAATTTTAATAATTACACCCTACTATCATATTCAACTCTAATTAAACGTAGAGAAGTTTTCATATTATTTAGTGCCCACAGCAAAATCTTTTTTTTTTTTTTTTTCGGGAGGAGATCAGAAAGAATTGCTAGTAAAATCAAAGTACAATATTACACTCCCAACATTTTAGATATATGCGGGAGCTTCACCAAGACCACAAAACAAAAATAATCTAAAGTATTGGCGATTTCAGGGAGACAAACTTTTCCAAAAACCAAAGGTGGCATGCATATGAAATGTGGCTTTAAGTTATCTAATCTTTTTAGTTCAGATATTATGTATGGGTCAGAATCATCAAATAATGGGCTCATCATAGCTTGGCAATTTCATTTTACCGAGGTTTTAATGGTGTAGGGGCATTTTCATGTTTTTGTATGTAATCACATTTTCACGTTGTCTTGAGCATATTTCCTTGATAGATTTACATAAAACAAAAGAAAATACTAACAACTATAAATTTAAGGATAAAACTTGTATTAATTTTGTGCTCATCATTTGGTGATGTGTTAAAGAAAATTATGATTATATTTGGTGGTATGATTATTTTTGGTGATATGATTATGATATGTTGTTTGTCTTATTATATATATATATATATATAATTGTTGTATTAATAAATGACACAAATTAATGTGCTAATCATCCAATTATAAACTAGGAATGAGTAGAATTCAATGGAAACAAACACAATTTTTATAACAAGTAACACACAAAAAAAAAATTAAAGAGGGGGATTTGTCATTCAAGTGATGTAATCCTAATTCTAAACCCTTATTTATACATAATTATATATGTATGCGGGCCTAACGGGCCGGCCTTTTGTGGGCGGGCCGGGCCGGATTTTCGTGGGCTTAATCGGGCCGGGCTTCAAACACCTAAGCCCAAACCCAGCCCAAGCCCAAGCGGGCCAGGCCCTCTCAAAGCCCATAACAGGCCGGGCCGGGCTTTTTTTCAATGGGCCGAGCGGGCCCCCGTAAGCCCATGAGCCCGCGGGCCAAATGATGAGGCCTACCTAATAGTCTATGTTGCACGGACACGGGTACGGGAACACGGGAACGCGACACGGCGACACGGCGACACGACGACATAGCAATTAAAATCTCAAAAAATTAGGACACGGGTACGGCTAGGACACAGAAATTAAAATAATAATTTATTCTCAATACTTCAATGTCACATAATTCTATAAAACATAAATAATCTAACTCTCAATCTTCTTCAAGCATTTATATCTTCATTGTTGTTGTTATTAAAAAACAACACGCCCTCTAATTCCGGTTCATCAAGTGATTCACATTCATCTTTCCCTATACAAAAATTCAGCATGGTTCACATTCATTATGTCTAATACCCAATTAATAAACAAATATTCAAATGTACTCAACAACTAAGTAACAAGACTTTTATTAAAAATAAAAAAACAAATACATATACAATCATACAAAGATACCCACACAAAAAACACATCAAAACAGAGAAACAAAATTAAAAAGTGGTACAGCCTAACCCGAGTTTGGCCACGATTTCTTTTTATTATTTGTTGTGTTTCTCTTTAAAAAAACAAAAGAAAGAATTGTCACCTCACCACCAAGTCCAACTCTTCTACTGCTGTGAAGGGAGATAAGAAAAGAAAATAGAGAACATAAATAAATGCATTTGAAAATAGAGAAAAAACAATTGCAAAGAGACTTACCTCGTGCAAAACCAAGAGAAGGGGAGGAGAAGAGCGATGACGAAGGAAATGAAGTTTGGCAGCAGAAAATGTAAGATTTGGGTTTTAAAAAGTTTTTTTTCCCACTTTTAGCTCTTTTTTTTAAAAAATATTTCAAATTAGTCCACCAAAGTTTCAAAAATCACGTTTAGACCCCAGATTTTATTTTAAAATTTTCAAACTGGTCCCTGCCGTGTCTTGACCGTGTTGGAGCCGTGTCTTGACTGTGTCCCAACCGTTGACCGTGTCCAAGGCGTGTCGGAGCCGTGTCGGCGTGTCCGACACTCCGACACTCCAGCATGTTGGAGTGTCCGTGCAACATAGCTGATAGTTTGTCGTGTGATTTAAATTCCCTCAATTGGATCCCTATAGTTCAATTCAATAACACATTTAAATTTCTATCCAATTCTATGGAGTAAGGTATGTTTGAGAGTGCTTTTATAATGGCTAAAAGTATTTCATGACGACCAAAAACATCTTTAATAGCGTTTGACAGAAATACTTATAAATGATTTTGGCCCACAAAAAGGCTTTCTAGAGAAACACTTAATTTTCAATAAATTTTGAGTGTTGCTAAACGAACTCTAAAATTAACTGAGTACACCCTACTACCAAAGTATTTATTGAATTACTAATTTACCCTAATATAAAATGACCAAAAATGATATATTGAATTGTGAAAAAAAATATATATAATTTTAATAAGTACACCCTACTATCATATTCAACCCTAATTAAACGTAGAGAAATTTTCGTATTGTTTAGTGCCCACGGTGAAATATTTTTTTGTTTCGAAGGAGATCATAAAGAATTGCTAGTAAAATCAAAGTACAATATTACACTCCCAGCATTTTAGATATATGTGGGAGCTTCACCAAGACCACACCCAAAAAAAAAATCAAAAATCAAAAATCTGAAGTATTGGCGATTTCGGGGAGACAAACTTTTCCAAAAACCAAAGGTGGCATGCATATGAAATGCGGTTGTGAGTTATCTAATCTTTTTAGTTCAGATATTCTGTATGAGTCAGAATCATCAGATAATGAGCTCATCTTAGCTTGGCAATTTCATTTTACCGAGATTTTAATGGAAATAATATTCTGAAGATTCTTATTTCAAATCCTAAAATGAAAGATAGATAACAAAGTCTTATAATAGAGATGGAATGCAAACGATTGTGCATTAATATAAGTTGATTTTAGGATTGGTGTTGGGGTTTTGTGTGATAGAGTGTATTAAGGTGTACCATGGGTATTTTTGGTAGTTAAATAGGGTGTACTTAGTTAATTTTACATTTTGATTAAAATATTAGAGTGTATTCATTTAATTTTAAGTTTTGTTTAGCAGCACTCTAAATTTTTTAATGTTCTTCTAATAGAAACACTTTTAAAAGCACTTATGAATAGAAGTTCTTTCTACAGAAGCATTCTCAAACAAACTCTAAGTACATATCGTTGATGTGGAGAAATATTTTGGACGAAATTAATTAATGAATTTGATAGAATTTATAACGTGTCTTTAAATTGCGAGAGATTTAAAACTACGGGGACCAAAGTAGTAAAACATGTGAACTATAAGGACTAAAAAATAACATTTTGCCTTGAATAATTGGACAAGAACGACGTCGTCCCCTTAAACTGATGTGATACACGTGTCAAGATACCCTTGCTGGAACACGGTGGACTCGAATGCAGTGAAACTTATACCCCGTCTCTCTCCCTCAAGAGTTTTTATCATAAATAGCCAAAATTTACCTCTTAAATTCATAAATGTCAATTTTTATAAAAACTTTCAAAAATAACAACAAATACAATTAAAAATACTTAAATACCCTTAAATTTAAAACCCAGATAAAAACCTAAAAAACAAAACCATCTCTTCATTTTCTAGTGTTTTTCCTTCTTTCGTTTCTTTAACAGCTGCATAATTTTTCAGCAGTAACCAAGATATAGGCAAGCAAATCAGACATAAGCTTTAAACTTTCTCATATAGCCACCACACTTTGTCTGCCAAAAAAGCCATAAGCATGCCAAAATTTTCCTTCATAGACAGAATACTAGAGCTAATTAATTTGGTCGATTGTTTTCTTATTATTATAATACTTCAGATTTTGTCTTGTTCTATTGTTAATTGGTCACTATTAATCACCAGACGCAACTCCCACACCACTCATCATTCTTAACTTCTTCCTTGCCCAACTTATATATTCTTATTGGACCAACAAAAAGTTTGTAAAGATAATCAATTTTCACAAGTGAGAAAAAAAAAAAAAAAATTCAACTACATCCCTCCCTCTTTGAACCAATGCGTAGAAGAAAGAGTTTTTATGTTTTTTTTTTTGGTAATTAAAAGAAGGGGGTTTCACTAAAACACCCAAAATGGGGTCTGAAATTATAAAAAAACCCAACACCCAAAACACTTTATAAACACACTCAAAACCCATCATTACACACACTCAAAATCCATTTATAAACACACCCAAAAAATATACAATTGTTGATTTTGGGGTTGATTTTGGGTGTGTTTCTATGTTTAAATAGTGTGTGGGTTTTTTTATAAATACATGCCTAGGATTGGGTTTATTTATAATAATTTATTAAAGGAAAGAGTTTTGCCTTTTAGGTTTATGAGGATTTTAATTTTGAGGGCATTTTAGTCTATTTAAGTGAGGTTTTTGCTATATTTGAAAGTTTTTACAAAAAATGACATTTATAAATTTAGGGGGTAAATTTTGTCTATTTATGATATAAACTCGTCACTCTCCCTCAAGTCCTAAACCCTACGCCAAAGCCCGCATTGGAAAACTCTGCAACCTCTTTTGGGGTTTCACAGCCAATCAGCCATGCCATCAAACCCATCAATCCAATAAGACAGTTGAGATTCACTGCGGCCATGTCGGCCTTATCAAGAGGCCTCATTTCTCGCCTTCGCCTTCTCTCCCTCAACCCCACCACCACCTCTTCTGCTGCTGCTGCTGCTAATACTAATGCTACGACGTCGTTTACGCAAACTCAGTACCATTTCTTCAGATGGTTCAGCTCCGAGGCCTTGGTTGATGCGGCTGAGGTCGCCGAGGAGCGGAGCCGCGTTATCGAAGCCAAGCCTGGGGCGATGAGCCCAAGCTCAAAGAGGACTGGGCTCATAGCCGTCAAGTGTGGGATGACTGCGCGCTGGGACAAATGGGGTGCTAGGGTTCCCATCACTGTGCTTTGGGTCGATGATAATATCGTCTCTCAGGTCAAGACCCCCGAGAAAGAAGGCTTCCCTGCTCTACAGGTAACCTTTTTTCTCTTCATTTTGTTCTGTTTGCGACGAATTCAATTTGATTTTGTCTGGTTACAGTTTTGTTAAACCTTTCGTATTCGTGAGTTGATTTATAATATCCCTGTAGCTTTATAGGTTATGAAATTTTCAGAGTTTTGGAGAGACGATATATGGTAATGCGTTCAGTGCTCTGGAGCGGATTTGGGCACACACTGATTTTATGATTTTGTTATTCAACTAAAGCAATATTTGGTCTTTAAATTGCGAGAGATTTAAAACTACGGGGACCAAAGTAGTAAAACATGTGAACTATAAGGACTAAAAAATAACATTTTGCCTTGAATAATTGGACAAGAACGACGTCGTCCCCTTAAACTGATGTGATACACGTGTCAAGATACCCTTGCTGGAACACGGTGGACTCGAATGCAGTGAAACTTATACCCCGTCTCTCTCCCTCAAGAGTTTTTATCATAAATAGCCAAAATTTACCTCTTAAATTCATAAATGTCAATTTTTATAAAAACTTTCAAAAATAACAACAAATACAATTAAAAATACTTAAATACCCTTAAATTTAAAACCCAGATAAAAACCTAAAAAACAAAACCATCTCTTCATTTTCTAGTGTTTTTCCTTCTTTCGTTTCTTTAACAGCTGCATAATTTTTCAGCAGTAACCAAGATATAGGCAAGCAAATCAGACATAAGCTTTAAATTTTCTCATATAGCCACCACACTTTGTCTGCCAAAAAAGCCATAAGCATGCCAAAATTTTCCTTCATAGACAGAATACTAGAGCTAATTAATTTGGTCGATTGTTTTCTTATTATTATAATACTTCAGATTTTGTCTTGTTCTATTGTTAATTGGTCACTATTAATCACCAGACGCAACTCCCACACCACTCATCATTCTTAACTTCTTCCTTGCCCAACTTATATATTCTTATTGGACCAACAAAAAGTTTGTAAAGATAATCAATTTTCACAAGTGAGAAAAAAAAAAAAATATCAACTACATCCCTCCCTCTTTGAACCAATGCGTAGAAGAAAGAGTTTTTATGTTTTTTTTTTTGGTAATTAAAAGAAGGGGTTTTCACTAAAACACCTAAAATGGGGTCTGAAATTATAAAAAAACCCAACACCCAAAACACTTTATAAACACACTCAAAACCCATCATTACACACACTCAAAATCCATTTATAAACACACCCAAAAAATATACAATTGTTGATTTTGGGGTTGATTTTGGGTGTGTTTCTATGTTTAAATAGTGTGTGGGTTTTTTTATAAATACATGCCTAGGATTGGGTTTATTTATAATAATTTATTAAAGGAAAGAGTTTTGCCTTTTAGGTTTATGAGGATTTTAATTTTGAGGGCATTTTAGTCTATTTAAGTGAGGTTTTTGCTATATTTGAAAGTTTTTACAAAAAATGACATTTATAAATTTAGGGGGTAAATTTTGTCTATTTATGATATAAACTCGTCACTCTCCCTCAAGTCCTAAACCCTACGCCAAAGCCCGCATTGGAAAACTCTGCAACCTCTTTTGGGGTTTCACAGCCAATCAGCCATGCCATCAAACCCATCAATCCAATAAGACAGTTGAGATTCACTGCGGCCATGTCGGCCTTATCAAGAGGCCTCATTTCTCGCCTTCGCCTTCTCTCTCTCAACCCCACCACCACCTCTTCTGCTGCTGCTGCTGCTAATACTAATGCTACGACGTCGTTTACGCAAACTCAGTACCATTTCTTCAGATGGTTCAGCTCCGAGGCCTTGGTTGATGCGGCTGAGGTCGCCGAGGAGCGGAGCCGCGTTATCGAAGCCAAGCCTGGGGCGATGAGCCCAAGCTCAAAGAGGACTGGGCTCATAGCCGTCAAGTGTGGGATGACTGCGCGCTGGGACAAATGGGGTGCTAGGGTTCCCATCACTGTGCTTTGGGTCGATGATAATATCGTCTCTCAGGTCAAGACCCCCGAGAAAGAAGGCTTCCCTGCTCTACAGGTAACCTTTTTTCTCTTCATTTTGTTCTGTTTGCGACGAATTCAATTTGATTTTGTCTGGTTACAGTTTTGTTAAACCTTTCGTATTCGTGAGTTGATTTATAATATCCCTGTAGCTTTATAGGTTATGAAATTTTCAGAGTTTTGGAGAGACGATATATAGTAATGCGTTCAGTGCTCTGGAGCGGATTTGGGCACACACTGATTTTATGATTTTGTTATTCAACTAAAGCAATATTTACTCCATTTTAGCGGTTTTAAATCTGCAAAAAGCCTGTCTGGAGATCAGACTACTTGGAAATTTATCATTAGTCAGATCTATGGGGTTTATTATTTGGTGGCTTCAGTTGCTTTACAATTTGAAGCTATATGCATCCCTTGCTGGGTGTATATGAAAGGTTTTGTTAGGAGTTTCTATGAATGGGATGCTCACTTAATTCGTTGTCACCGAGGGCACATAATTGGTGATTTGTTTTGCTTCTGTTTTGTTAATTAGATGACATGCCAATTTGGCAGTGATGGTGTAGGAAGCACTTTTGCTTAGAATTGCTTTAGTTGGAAGTGCTTTTGATAGAAGCACAACAAAATTTATATTGAAATTCCAAGTGCTTTTGTTGGAAGTGTTTTCTTTTGGTTCTTGCATCTGTTTTTTCTTTTTCTTCTGTTTTGCCAACATTGATCATATTGATTTTTCTTGGTAATTAAACAGAGGGCAAATTTATATTTGTACAATTTTTCAAGGGCACGGGTTAATTATAGGATGGTATTCTGTTGTGGTGCTAGTTAGATTGGTTGCGGACAGAAGAAAGCAAAGCATTTGACGAAGGCTGAGGTCGGTCATTTCAGAGCTCAAGGTGTTCCACTTAAGAGGAAACTGAGGGAGTTTCCTGTAACAAAAGATGCGCTTCTCCCTGTTGGTATGTCAGTTGGTGTTCGCCATTTTGTTCCAGGCCAATATGTTGATGTCACAGGAATCACGAGAGGGAAAGGTTTCCAGGTGAACTAATTTCCCAATCCTCATTTTTTGGTTTATCCTGTGGTTGTATATATTTTTTCAAGCAAAATAAAATAAATTCCTTGTATTAAGGATCCAATCAATGAATTATAAAACTGTGTTTTTCAAAATTTATTCTACTACAGTGATAAAAAGTACTACTTTCTTTAGATTATGAAATATTACGTATCATTTTTATTTTCTGTGTTCAGGGCGGGATGAAAAGGCACGGTTTTAAAGGAATGCCAGCGTCTCATGGTGCATCCTTGTCACACCGAAGTATTGGTTCAACAGGTCAGAGGGATGCTCCTGGAAAGGTTTGTATGGGATCCAAATCTCCTTAAACTATTCCCATGAACTCTTTTGGAAAATCTGTATAACCAAATCTTTTTGCTTCAAATGAGATGGCTTAATTTTGTCAAATAATCTGTTGCTAATTTGTTTGTTCTCGGACATGCTACATTGCACTGACTTTCTACATACTATTGTGTTTAACCTGTTTATCTTTTCCCCCTATATGAGTAAACACGTCGCATTTGTGTGGTCTGGAAAGTTCAATAAATGTTTTCTGTAAATTTCTTCATTGGTTTGCTATAATTATGTTTCAAGAATCAAAATTTCTGAATATTTCCGGATGCATTCTAGTTCCATTAGGTTATAAATTGTAATTGTGACAATCATATGTTTGTATGAACAGGTATTTAAAGGCAGAAAGATGCCTGGGCGCATGGGTGGGAAACAGAGGACGGTAAAAAATGTATGGGTCTACAAAATTGATCCTGCAAGGAATTTGATGTGGGTGAGAGGCCAAGTAAGATTTCCTCACAAACTTTACTTTTCTGAATTAAGTGCTCAAAATTGGATGGAAAAGGAGGAGGTTATCCACGGTCCTCTTCAATTACCTGCACACTGATGACCTTAAGTGAATCCATTTTGAATCTTATTCAACAGTAGTTTCGTGAGCTTAATGATCTTCATAAGTGTTAATAAAGTTCAGGGGAAAAGAATGTATAATGAAGGGTTGTGCCGGGTAGAGGATTTTGGTTGGTTGAATGAAATTGCTGATACACATTCACAACTGCACAGTTTAAAAGCCATACTATGATTGGTCTTAATCCTCTTCAGAAGTCAGTATGTTGTATTGTTAATCCTGGTTTTGTGTTACTTAATTGGATGTTGTCTATTCTCACAGGTCCCAGGTGCTGAAGGGAACTTTGTGTTCATAAGAGATGCTTTCTACAAGAAACCTGATATTTCATTGCTACCATTTCCGACTTACTTTGCTCCAGAGGATGAGGATGCAACCAAGTTAGAACCACTGGTTGCTGATCTTGGAGAGGTAGATCCATTCATGGTGGCAGATTAAGCAGGAGTGTAATCTGAAATCACGTGAGGAACTAGGATGTTTCATTCAGCCAAATTGACTACACTGCGGTCACGTCCTTTTTTATGATGCAAAGAGCATGCTGGCTTTAGGGTTATAAAGACCTGTCTGAGGGTGTTGAATATGTTTTTTTTTTATATAAAGTTTATTTTTGTTAGAGGAATGCAGGCGCAGAGGTTGTAATATTTATATAATTGAGTTCATTTCAACCTCAGAATTGAATACTGACCGACAATGGGTTTTTTTTGTTGGAACCATGTTTTGAAATAAATGTGGCTGACATGAAATTGTTGACTCTTAGCATGGCTGTGCTTTGAGCCAGTTGAAAAGCATTGATACTTTTCCAATAGAAGAGGCTTCTAAACTCAAATGAATTGTTGCAAGATACAGAAGAAAAGGTTCAAAAAAGAAGAAAATGGAATCAATTTGTCATGCTATGGATTTTTAGTTCTGTTCTTTCTGGTATTTGAGTTCAGGATGGATTAAAAGCATTTAAAAAGAAGAAGAAAAAAAAAAAGCAAAAGCAGAAAAAGGGCTTTTGCTTTTGGAGTTTTGCTAAATTTGCATTCAAACGCAAACAGTCAAGTGTCAAACACTCGTAGACTTAAAAACCAAAACCCAATCGATGATTTTATTGACCAGCCTCCTAAGGAATTTGCTGCTATTAAGTTTTGGCTCTGAACCTCGTCTTCTCCTCGCCCCATTTCGTACCCAAAAAAAACCCTAAATTCCACCTCCCTCTTCTTCTTCTTCCTCCTCCTCCTAGGGTTACCGTTACCCAATAATCCTGACCCTCCAATCTCACAGTCAAATGCGAGTTCAATGGCAATGAAGCGAGACCAACCCGACCTCGAGAAGCGACTCTGCGGCGTCTGCGGCTCCACAGAGCGGTGGTTCCTCCACTACGTCCGCCACAGAGGACATTTTCGTAAGCTCTGCACCAACTGCGTCCTCAAGAACAACCCAGGCCTCTTCTGCCCTATCTGCCTCGACTTCTTCGAGCACCCCCTTCCGGCACGTGACCAGGTCATGTGCGTCCGGTGCCCTTCCATCTCTCACTCTGCCTGCGTCGCAGCCAATTCCTCCTTCCGCAGCTTCCAGTGCCCTCCCTGCTCCCAGCCCACCTTCTCCTTCTTCAACCTCACCCGCCAAAACGACGGCCAAGACGCCAAAACGGCAGTCGTCATCGACAAGGACGCCGCCAAGGCCCTCGTCGCCGCCGCCAGGATCGCAGCGGCTTTGATGACCAAAGCCGCCGTCGCCGCCAGGGTTGACGCCGAGCGCCGGGTCAAGGAAGCCGTCGTGGCAAAAAAGAAGGCCAGAGAGGCCTTGGAACGATTCACATCTCTTGTCAATAAGGAAAAGGAGAAGGATTCGAAGAGTGGAGGCGTTGTTTCGGCGCCTGAGAGCCTCAACGCGAAGCCCAAATTGGAGGGTCCTGGGCCAATTCAAGTGGCGCCCAAGATTTCTGAGCCTGGGGGAAGTAATGGGTTGAAAAACAGTCATGCGGATCCTATGGAAGAAGACTGATTTGAGATCAAGGAGCTTGAGCTTCATGGGTTCATGGTTCGTAGTTTAAGTTTCTTTTCATTATTTGATGATACTCAGCTTTTGCTATTTAGCTTCAGCCTCAGCTTCTACACAGTCTTCTGGCAATCTGTGAGTCTCTTTGTTAGTTGCTGTTGGTTTTTCTTTTTTAAATTTTTACGCGGCCGCCCTTGGCACTTTTGCAGAGATGATGTTTACTTTCCCAAGCTGATGATTCTCTGGGCCCCTTTGTATCTACATTGTCCTTCTTTGCCATAATCAGAAATTGCATTTTCTAATTCTCTGTTTTCTCCCTTTGCATACACTTCGTTTCCCAATTAGCATGAGATATTTTGTGGTTCCTTGGCTATGAAGCTTTACCCAATATGTGTGATGGCCTTGCTTGCTTGTGTGCAAATGCATTTTGTCCTGATTTCGGTGCTATTCAAGGAGAAGCTAGAAAGATGACATGTTTATCAGAACTTCAAAGTTGGTGTTTCATTGAACACACTGACCTAAAATGAGTCTATTTCTTGTTCCTTGCATCTTGCAAGTTTTGCCGTCTTGTTTTGAATGCAAAATATCAATGCTTTATTGAGTCAAGTTCCTGAAAGACATATCAGGTAGTGATATGACTTTGTGTTTCCTGTTATGGTTCCAATTCATTCAGAATTTTCTCTTGTTACAGTGCTCGTCCAGAACTTTATTAGTTATACAAAACATTCTTCTTTCTAGTTCATTTTGTAGGTGCTTGCTTCATGGTTACAAACCCATTCGTCTGGTTAAAGCTCAAAATTACATTGCTGTATAGTTCTCTTTTTTTTCTTTTTTTGGGTCGGAATCGCTATATGGTTCTTATTCGTAAGGTTTCGATTAAAACCTATTCTTGCGCAGAGTTCTGTGTGTGCATGCCGAGAACTTCACACAACTGTATTATGGAAGTCGTCTGATCTGCGGCCGATTGAATGATGAATTGACCTAGGTTCCCTTTTACATCACTGAGTGTTCAAAACCTCAATTGAGTTGAACCTTCTATTATATATTTTGTGTTATAAGCTAATCCTCTTCCATGGTTTCTCTGTTTCCTTCCTAATCTATGCTCTCTGCCATGATGCTCATCTTGTCATCTAATTTCAGTTTTGCGCAGCCGCATTCCCAGCCACCCCTGCGTTTCTTTTTATTTTTATTTTTGAGATGTCAAGTTTCCTAACATGAAGGATATGTCATTTGCACGAGTGCACATGCATTCGCTCGCATCCCTGTGTTTCCGCCCACCATATATATAATATAATAAGTTTTCAATTAGAGAGAGGAAGGGTATTTCTGCATGGCAATATTTTGAGAAGAAAAGGAGAAAAGATGCCAATGAAGTCATGAACTTTACCGGTTTCTGACCAAACAAATATTGGAATATAGCAGGGCTTCATATCTGCCCGATTAAGGTTTATCTTTTTGGTCGAACTTTATGTCATATGGGTTTGCTGACAAACAAAATGGCTCAATCATTTTTCACTGAAAGGGTTGTACTTGTACACCACATTTTTGCCCTAAAATCTAAAATCCTGGATCTGAACAAGAAAAAAAAAAATTAACTCTCATTTTGGCCTCCTTTTTACAAGAAAGAAGAGAAAAAGGAAAAACAATGTGCTTTGCCTATATCAGTTCAGATGGATCAAAATTCAAGGATGTGTCTTCCATGGGGAAGAAGATAAGTAAGCAAAGCGTATGTATTTACTATGATGATGAAATGTATATACATAGAAAGGGCATTTGGGTACATAAAAATGCTATGCAAAAAGGTACTGGAAAATGAAAAACAATGCGCAGGGACAAAAGGGCTCCTTATCTGTTATCAATCGGGGGGAGTGGTGGGGGGTGACAATCAACAGCGCCATCCTCTCTCTCATCCATCCATCCATCTTCAGATTAAACTTGTTTATTTCATTTCAAATCAATGAGGCAGCTAATCCTCCTCATCTTCACGTGTCATGATGAGTAGTTAATTGGGTTGAAATGGGATCTCATGAGCTAATGTTTCAAACCAGTGAAGTAAGGCACGCCTGTGTTTCTCAACCACTGGTCTCCCGATAGAAAAGGACCTGCAGTGAATTGAAGAGCCTCATTTCTGTTCCGGATCACATGAAATCCCTTCCATCTCACCCTTCCGTTGGTCACAGCCCCCGGACCCCGGTTCCCATACTCTGCAAAATACAGAGTATCAAGTGCAAAGTTGCCACTCCATTCCAGCCACCCTGCTGGTTGAATGAAGTCTCCTAGTTCTGATTCCATGATCACAGCCCTTGAGTATGTCTTCCATGGCCTCCCTAAGTATGACTTAGTCTTGAACCTCGTTGGGAACAGAGCCTGTTCGGGGACTATCCTGCAGTTCTGGAGGACAATGCCTGTGGTTTCCCTCTTGTCCTGTCTTCCCTGAGCAGTCACAGTGTTTTGCTGGCCGTCCATAGGCTTCCTCACTATGATCAAACAGTTCTGGATGAGTGTTGGTGAGTCACCGAAGATGAAGTCAACTGTGCCGGAAATGACACAGTTGCGATAGAACTGGCGATGTGTTTGGACGTACAATGTGTCTTGGTACGCATCCATTCTACAGTTGAAGAAGGCTGACATCTCCGACTGGACGCGGAGTGCCACTGCCTGATGCTTCTGGGCGCCGGCTGTGTTCTGAAATCCCATTGCCTTGGCTAGAAACCCACTTCCAATTGCAGCTGTGATTATAAAGAAGAAAATGTGATTATAAACTGTATCTATTACAAGGTTACTATAACAGCCATTCCATCCTTATCATTGAAATTGGTTTTCTGTAAAGCATTAGGGTCTTCAAATTTGTTCAGCAATAATGCGTGTAAATATATGTCAGGTTCACAGTAAGTTTAAATAAAGCATTATTTAGTGAACAAATTTGGTGACCGTAGCATTATTGGTATGGTATTATTAACTGGAGAAGTAATATCTAACAGGTGACTCACCGAATGTGGCGGTGTTCTGGGTGGTGATGCCATCAGCCCAGCTTTTACTCCCAGTGACCATGGTCTTCCGGGGTCCATCTCCATACATGAACACATTGACCTGGTCCTTGGTAACAGTAACGTACTCATTGTAAATCCCAGCCTTCACATATATGATATATCTTCCCTTAATCCCCTTAGGGTATGCTGCAAGAGCCGCACCTATTGTTTTGTATTGTCCACTTCCATCTTTTGCCACTACCGCATTTGGTCTAACCTGTCCGTTGCTGTGACTTGCCAATAGCCTCCTGTCTGCAGCGCGAAACCAACTAGGGTAATGGCCTTGCTCATCATTATCGTGCTCGAGAAGTCTTCGGGAGCTGCTTGGATTTCTTAAATCTTTGTTTAAAGTGATATTGAAACTTTGTAAGATCTCAGAAATTGAGGAAGCAATTGCTAAGGCATTGCTCGTCAGCTGTGTGGCATTGAGAAGCCCATCTTTCATCTGTTTTTGGAGCTCTTCTTGAGGAATCCCATCAAGGCATGATTGTTGGAATGATATCACAGCACTCAACCAATTTTTCAGCTCATCCTCTCTATCATGCATTGTGTGCATATCACTGTCCCCTACGTATGAAAACGAAGCTTGAAGATCAGCAATCGCCGATTCCAACAAGTCCTTGCAATCATCCATTGCCATTTTTCCCGTGGAATTGAGATTGCTAAATGATTTGGCAATGTTGCCAGAATTGTCTATTGCAGACTTCACTGTTGAAATGGTGGAATCAATGGCTGCTTGGATGAGGTCTTTAGCCGTGGCGCTTTCATTTTTTGCAACTTTGCTAAGGCTGTTGATGCATGCTTCCTTGTAATCAGTTGGCTCACAAATTGCAGCAACGGCCTTAGAACTTGTAGAAAGTTGGTCCTTGTGACTCTTCCTAGTGCAAACCACAGCCACAAGACCAATCACGACGCCAACGACAAGGACAATTGAAACTCCTCCTATTACCAGCTTGCCTTTTTTCTCCATAATTTAGTTTCTGATATCTGATTTTGGTGAAGAAATGGAAGTTCTAAATCATGGAGATCATGTATACATGTTATATATATATACAGCTACAAAAAGGCATGCATTGCATTGGGGGCTGTCCAAATTTAGGGGTGATTTTGAAGGCCTTGTCTAGAATAAGAGCAAGGTAGATGGTGTGAGGCTTAGGACAAAAATTCCCATAATGTGATGGTGGTTAAGGGACAGTTATATTAGTTATTGTGTATATATAAGATCATCATCTCCTACAATTTCTCCGGAATGAGTTCCTGCTCACCATTGCCTCTGTCTTTTTTTGGACTTGATGATCATAACAAAACCTACCAACAACAGAGTTCACTTCCCTACTCCCTTCCTCCCTTTAGCATGCACCCTATCTTTAGAGGGACGATATCCATTTTTTACTTGACCTTCAAGTCAAGCAATCTCTGTTGTGGCCCAAGATATCAATCAAAAGCTCTGTGCTTTCTCTATGTATATCTAGGCTTTTAGAAGATGGGATGATATTTTTGTATTTATTTTTTCTTTTCACATAATTACGTATCATATTCGAATGTTTTAAATTAGAGTTCTAAAACCCAATTACTCTTGAAATTAAACATTACATATAATTACACTAACAATTTGACGTGACAATAATATAGCTGACATGAAAACAACAATATCTCGTAACAAGTTGACGTGACAAATCATTATAACACACACTCATTCATATTTAAATCCTTATAACTATATTGTCTATAAAAAAAATATAAAAAAAATCACCATATTATATCACATTCATTCATATAAATTTTACACTCAACCTTTTGTATTTGCAAATACATATTTTGGCAAATGTTTATATATTAAAAAAAAAAACATTATTGGGGACCCACAATATCTTATCAATGTCGAACAAAGTAGAAGGTGCTGAAAAATTGGGTGAGTTTGAAGGTTCGCTCGCTCCAAAGTGAAGACAAATGACTTCGCTCCAAGTCCTTCAAGCCACCCCACCCCACCTAAGCTCGCCCAAGACCCAGATTTCACCATTACGTGGCATCGAATCATGCTCAACCATGGCCGAGCTCAAGCAGTTGCACTCCCAAGTCATCAGGCTCGGCCTCGCAGCCGACAACGATGCCATGGGTCGTGTCATCAAGTTCTGTGCACTCTCCAAGAATGGCGATTTGCGTTATGCTCTCCAACTGTTCGATACAATGCTCCACCCAGATGCATTCATTTACAACACCGTAATGAGAGGCTACTTGCAATGCCAATTACCGAGAAATTGCATTGTTTTGTACTCACAGATGTTGCAAGATTCTGTCACTCCCAATAAGTACACGTTCCCTTCTGTTGTACGAGCTTGTTGCAGTGATGATGCTATTGGAGAAGGGAAACAACTTCATGCCCATGTTGTTAAACTGGGGTATGGAGGTGATGGGTTTTGTCAGAACAATTTGATTCACATGTATGTGAAGTTTCAGTCTCTGGAAGAAGCTAGAAGGGTCTTTGACAAGATGCCCCGGACAGATGCTGTGTCTTGGACCACTTTGATTACTGGGTACTCGCAGTGTGGTTTTGTTGATGAGGCTTTTGAAATTTTTGAGTTGATGCCTGAGAAGAACTCTGTTTCTTGGAATGCCATGATTTCCTCTTATGTCCAGAGTAATCGTTTTCATGAGGCATTTGCTTTGTTCCAAAGAATGCGAGTGGAGAAGGTGGAATTGGATAAATTCATGGCGGCTAGTATGTTATCGGCTTGTACAGGTTTAGGTGCTCTGGAACAAGGGAAGTGGATTCATGGATATATTGAGAAAAGTGGGATTGAATTGGACTCAAAACTTGCAACAACAATCATCGACATGTATTGCAAATGTGGCTGCCTGGAGAAGGCCTTTGAAGTTTTTAATGGTTTGTCCCATAAAGGTATTTCTTCATGGAATTGCATGATTGGAGGGCTAGCAATGCATGGGAAGGGAGAGGCTGCCATTGAGCTATTTGAGAAGATGCAAAGGGACATGGTAGCTCCTGACAACATTACTTTTGTTAATGTCCTTAGTGCATGTGCTCATTCAGGGTTAGTTGAAGAGGGGCAACGGTACTTCCAGTCCATGATTGAAGTCCATGGTATTGAGCCCAGAAAAGAGCATTTTGGCTGCATGGTTGATCTTCTTGGAAGAGCAGGGATGCTGGAGGAAGCAAGAAAGCTAATAAATGAGATGCCAATGAGCCCCGATGTAGGCATATTGGGTGCGCTCCTAGGAGCTTGTAAGATCCATGGAAATGTTGAACTGGGAGAACACATAGGAAAGAGAGTAATTGAACTGGAGCCAGAAAATAGTGGTCGCTATGTGTTATTAGCCAATCTATATGCCAATGTGGGCAGATGGGAAGATGTTGCTAATGTGAGGAGATTGATGAATGACAGGGGAGTGAAGAAGGTTCCTGGATTTTCCATGATCGAATTGGAAGGTGTTGTCAATGAATTTATTGCAGGGGGAGGGGCTCATCCTCAGACAAAAGAGATATATGCCAAGGTTGATGAGATGTTGAAATGTATAAGATCTGCAGGCTATGTTCCTGACACAAAGGGAGTGTTGCATGATCTTGATGAGGAGGAAAAGGAGAATCCTCTATACTACCACAGTGAGAAACTTGCTATTGCCTTTGGCCTACTGAAGACTAAACCTGGGGAAACTCTTCGTATATCGAAGAACTTGCGAGTCTGTAAAGACTGCCACCAAGCAAGCAAGCTCATCTCAAAGGTTTTCGATCGGGAAATAATCGTGAGGGATCGAAATCGTTTTCACCATTTTAAAAGGGGAGAGTGTTCTTGTAAAGATTACTGGTAATGCTGTCTGGTGGTCAGCTGTAGAGATTTTGTCTTAACAAAAGAAATACATCTTACTTAAGATATGCTGTAAGCAAGATAAGTTCATCCAAATACTGAAAATCATTTGGTTGTGTTATTATTTTGATCAAATTTGTGGTTTTCTAGCACACGAGTTTATGATTTGTCTTTGATTTGACGTTTACGCTTCAAATTTCTTCCCTGTGTTAAAAAAAAGTTTGTATAAAATTGAGAGTAAGGCATTTTGTCAACGATTCACCAAACCAGTTGTGCACTCACTGAGTCAAACTCACACAATTATATTGTGCAATAAATTTTTGTCTTGAATTATTTTATTTTTTTAAAACAGCTAAAAAGAACTTTGTGTTGGGGAGCCAAAGGCCAAAATTACCTTTAACCTTATTTCTTTATTTTTTTTATATTTTTTCTCAATCAATCATTGGTCGTAAATAGTAAAAATAAATAATATGTTTACCATAAAGAACAGAAACCCTAAAAAACGGCGGGTCGAGCAATCGAGTCGAACCTATTCCACTCGCGACTCACGATTCCGAACGATCCCAGCTCGTTCTTCTTCCTTCACCCAATTTTTCAAGTTTTCCCACCAATCTGACCCTCAAAAACCTAACTTTCCATCAATTTCTCCACTTTCGAGCCTATCAATCATCCCAAATCCAAATGCGTCTGACCCACATCGAAGAATTTTAGATAGGTCAATATTTCTCTATGCCATTCGTTTTTTCTAACCCAGGTAAGCAGAATTTAAGCAACCATTTAGTTTTCTAAGCTGTGTATTTTTACCTGGTTTTTAGTGGAATCAGATTATCCCCTTTCTGTATATTATTGTGTTAGAAAGTTTTAGCCTTAAATTTGGGTGTTAGGAAATTTCAGCTGTGGTTTTTATGTGATTAATTGCAAAAAGTGAGTGCCAATTTGTCTGATTTTTATCTCATGCTTAGTCTTGTTTGGTCTCAGCTAGCTACCTATGTACAATGTTTGCTTCTTCCTTTTTGTACCATTTATTGTGGCTTTTTGTTGTTTCAAATCTTGTTCTGCCGCTTCAGATGCTGAGACAAAATTATTTTGAAGTGCTGGATTGAGTTTTTGAAACAAGTAAACCCATTTGTTGCTTTCCAAGCTCAGAAGGAGTTGCCCTTTCTGTTGAAATTTTCATTTGAACAGTTAAATGACATTTTAATATCAACATCTATTATAAATTTGTGAAACCCCAATTTTATTTGTGTGAATTATTTTGAGTTGGTTGTGTGCTAGGTCCAGAGCTCCATTAGTAACCAGTCCTTTTTCAATTTTTTTTTTGGTCGAAATCCTTTTTCATATTGTGTCAATGTATCAAGCACGTTTGAGAATCTTGCCAGCTATGTCTTTATTACTCCATGTTAAGCTTGAAAACATTGCATTTTATTGTCTTTCGTACTGAATTCTTATGTATTTCTCATTTGTGCTCGCTATGCTTTGGCCTATATGCTGCCCTTAAGCTAATGAACGAATGTATTTTTTTCAAACATCTCCTGCAGATTCCTATTTCCTGTTGCCTAACTCTCACTGTGGTAAACACCAACATCCTCTTTACTAGTGTCATTGTCGGACCATGCAACGTTGCAAGATTAAAGATATTGACTTCTGTTAGTGCTGAGAATACAGCGAGTGAATCAGACAAGGGTAACATTCTTAGATGGTTTAAATTGACAGCCACAATGCGTTCCTCTGGACTTGTTGACCCTGGATGGGAACATGGCATGGCTCAAGATGAGAGGAAGAAAAAGGTTAAATGCAATTACTGTGGAAAAATAGTTAGTGGAGGAATATATAGATTGAAGCAACATTTAGCCCGAGTTTCTGGAGAAGTTACTTATTGTGATAAGGCTCCAGAGGATGTATACATGAATATGAAAGCAAATATGGAAGGAAGTCGTTCTAATAAGAAACCTAGGCATTCTGAAGATATTGGGCAAGCATATTTGAATTTCCAATCTAATGATGATGAAGAAGAGGTGCATGTTGGTTATAGAAGCAAAGGAAAGCAATTGATGGGTGACAGGAATTTAGCTATGAAGTTGACTCCTCTTCGGTCATTAGGATATGTTGACCCTGGGTGGGAACATGGTGTTGCTCAGGATGAGAAAAAGAAAAAGGTGAAATGCATTTATTGCGAGAAAATAGTTAGTGGTGGTATCAATCGGTTTAAACAACATTTAGCTAGAATTCCTGGAGAAGTAGCACCTTGTAAACATGCTCCTGAGGAAGTTTTTCTTAAAATAAAAGAGAATATGAAATGGCATCGTACTGGAAGGAGACAGAGACAACCCGATTCAAAGGACATGTCACCTTTTGATCTGCAGTCAGACAATGAAGATCAAGACGATGACCAAATGGAAGCTGCTCTGCATCATATAAACAAGGAAAGATTGATTGATGGTGATAGGAGATTGGGCCAAAATTTGAGAAATACATTCAAGGCGTTGCCTCCCAGTACTGGTTCTGAACCATTATTTAAAAGATCAAGGCTAGATTCCCTTTTCTTGACTGCTCCCAAGAGTTTGACACCACATTCTTACAAACAAGTAAGGGTCAGAACAATGTCAAATAAAATATCCCGCAAGGAAGTTATTTCTGGAATTTGCAAATTCTTTTACCATGCAGGAGTTCCTCTACAAGCAACAAACTCCTTATACTTCCATAAGATGCTGGAATTGGTTGGCCAATATGGCCAGGGTCTGGTAGCACCTCCAAGCCAATTAATATCTGGTCGGTTTCTGCAAGAGGAAATTGCAACCATTAAAACCTACCTGGCTGATTATAAGGCGTCCTGGGCAATCACTGGGTGTTCTATAATGGCAGACAGTTGGAGAGACACAGAGGGTAGGATATTAATAAATTTCTTGGCTTCTGGCCCAAATGGTGTATACTTTGTTTCTTCAGTTGATGCCACTGAAATAGTTGAAGATGCTTCGAATTTGTTTAAGCTGCTGGACAAAGTGGTTGAAGAGATGGGTGAGGAAAATGTAGTTCAGGTATTTGGTTTTCTTTGTTTCTCATGTAGTTCCCCATCCCAAACTGTCATCCGCCAGCTACTAACTTTGCTTTGCTTCTAATCCCCTATTGTACAGGTAATCACTCCAATTACTCCTAGCTATAAAGCTGCTGGAAATATGCTTGAAGAGAAAAGAAAGAAATTATTCTGGACCCCATGTGCCACTAGTTGTATTGATCAAATGCTTGAAGATTTTTTGAAGATAAGATGTGTAGCGGAGTGCATGGAGAAGGGGCAAAAAATTACAAAGCTCATTTACAACCAAATTTGGTTGTTAAATTTTCTGAAGAGTGATTTTACACAGGGGAAGGAACTTTTGAGACCGTCTATTACCCGGTTCGCCTCTAGCTTTGCTACCTTACAAAGTTTGCTGGACCACAGGACTGGTCTTAGAAGAATGTTTCAATCAAACAAATGGATTTCATCTCAGTGCTCCAAATCATGTGAAGGAAAAGAGGTGGAAAGTATTGTATTAAATGCTACGTTCTGGAAGAAGCTACACTTTGTTAGGAATTCAGTGGACCCATTTATGCAAGTTCTTCAAAAGGTTGAGAGTGGTGACTGCTTGTCAATGTCATCTATATATAATGACATGTATAGGGCAAAGCTTGCAATCAAAACCATTCATGGTGACAATGTACGTAAATATGAACCATTTTGGAGTGTTATAGAAAGCCATTGGAACTCGTTGTTCTACCACCCGGTATATGTAGCTGCTTACTACTTAAATCCATCATACAGATATCGACCCGATTTTACGGCGGTAGGACAAACAATGGCTGCTTGTGATTTTATCATCATGTTGACTTCTTTCCTAACCTAGATGTTAATTGTCTGTAGCATACCGAGGGGATGCGTGGACTTAATGAGTGCATCGTTCGGCTGGAGCCAGACAGTGCAAGAAGGATTTCTGCATCTATGCAGGTAATAATTTTCTTATAGGAATTCATTATTTGCTTCCTGAATGTTTTCATATGTTGAGATTATCTTCTTATATTCTCCCATTCTTTCAGATTTCTGATTACAACTCTGCTAAAGCTGATTTTGGAACCGAATTGGCAATCAGTACAAGAACCGAGCTTGATCCAGGTATAACACTACACTGTCATGCTACTCATTTGAGAGTTCCGATATGTATATGCGTGCCCATGCATCGAGTCTCTGGACACATTACACATCTTCTCAAGCATTATTTTACTTACAGAAACATTTCTCCTTTTCTTGCCTCTTATTAGCTGCATGGTGGCAACAACATGGGATAAGTTGCTTAGAGCTGCAGCGTATTGCTGTGCGTATTTTAAGTCAGACGTGCTCATCTTTTGGTTGTGAGCATAACTGGAGTATATATGATCAATTGTACAGTTTAAGAAATAATCGTTTAGCTCAAAAAAGATTGAATGACCTCATCTACGTTCACTACAATCTGCGTCTTAGAGAACAACAATTACGAAGAAGGGCTGAAAATTCAATCTCCCTCGACAATGTTCTGTTAGAGCGTTTGCTAGATGACTGGATTGTAGACACCGCCGAAAATGACATGCTAGAAAATGAGGTATTTCAAGCGTAGATTCCATTTTTCCTGCAGAGTGGATTAGTTACGTGCCAATTGCACTACAAGCTTCAATTTGCTGAGTTGGCTAACTACGAAAAATCCCTTACATTGTCTGAATCAAATTCTTTATTTTCTCTTTGTAGGAAGTCCTTTACAATGAAATCGAACAGGTTGATGAATACGAGAATGATATGGTTGATTATGAAGGTGTAAATGGAAATGCAGAGACTAGGAACGGATCAGTCGAGCTGGTAACTTTGGCTGATGCAGATATCAATCCTGTCAATGCTGGTGTTGCCACTGATGATGATGATGAAGATGATGAGGATGGCGATATAAACTTTTTCGATGATGACATGAGTGATTAGTCAGTTTGTAGATCTTCAACTAACACAAGAAGTAATGGTGGTGAGGCAGCTCTGCCATAGTTGTGCAATTATATCCCAGCCTCACTAGTTTTGGAAGTTACCACTTGACATCAACGGGGCGCCCTTACATGTAATATTCTTCGACCCTTCGTCAAAATGTAACTTGGGCAGGTCATAGATGAATCACTGTTACTTAGGGCTTGTTTGGGATTGCTTCTCTAGAAAGCACTTCTGCTCATAAGCGCTTCTAAGAAAAGCGCTTTTATTATAAAGTTGAAAATTTTATAAAAAATTGAAGTGCTTCCTGAAGAAGCACATGGCAGGTGCTTTTCCATAAAGCACTTCTATAGCCAACAAGCACTTCTAAACTTTTCTGCCAAATGCCATGAGAAGCGCTTTTGGTTATCAAAAAGCACTTTTAACTTTTTCAGAAGCACTCCCAAACGAGTCTTTAACCACTTTTTATTCAAAATTTTCATAGCCTAGCACTATTATCACCTTCCGACTGCTCATCAAACTGGTCATCTCCCTATCATACTTTTCGCGTGACATAAACTTACATGTAACAAGTGTATACTTCAGCTTATCGTGGGATGATGTAGACAAATCTCTCTTCTAGAATCATATTAGCCAAACTCACTGAGACTCATCCACCAATATTTTCCAAATACTATTTTTTTTGCCAAATATTTTCCAAATACTTTAAATAAATAAATAAAACGACTATGAGTGCCATGGGATGGGAGACAATGTGGCGAATGCATACGAGTTATGAAGGTGTTGGATTTATTTCGAAGGAAAGGAAAATATCACACTTCGAAGAAGAAAAATGTAATTAAATAGAATAATTATTTCAAAGTGAAGAACTGGAAATTCCAAAAATCTCTTTTATGGATTGGGTGTGATGATCAAATTTTTGGGTGGACATGGAAAAACAATTACCCCAAATTTCTAAATCAGATGAGAATTTGATAAATTCCCACATTCCAAATTTCTAATAAACCCAAGACCTTTGTGGTTGGTTTTCTCTACAGGGCTGCTACTTTTAGTCTGGGCCGCCCCATTTGGCTGGTAACTTATTACCGGGCTGATCGCTTGTAAAACGCCGAAAGAACGAATAACTCTCTTCGACGCCTCTCTCTTCCTACCAAAGCCTAGTTTTTTTCAGTCTCTCCTCTCTCGGCCGCTAAACTCTCTCACTCCGAGGCCATTGTCGTTGAAGCAACGCTGTTAGCTCCTGCCCTCTCTGATTCAGGCGCCGCCAGTATGTTATCTTCTTCTTCTCACTGAGTTTTCAATGAATTTGGATCGCTTTGTGCTTATCAGGTTGGAGCTGTTTTGATTTTGATTTCAAAAGTTGTGTTTTAGGATGCCGGAAATCAAGGCAGTGATTGGTCTCTCATGGGAGCCAAAGTTGCCGACTGTTTCATCAGCAGCCAAAAATGGAGGTGGGTCTGGTACCAAACCTCACGAAACTCACCGCGAAACCAATCAACTTTGGAAACCCAACACACAGCTTGTTGATGGCCTCTTTGTTCCACCAAATAACCCAACAAAGCTGAACAAGTTGCTTAAGAAGCAGCTCAAAGACACTGCTGGGACAAGTTGGTATGTCATCATCTCAACTCATTCTGCTTCTTTTGAGTCTTGGGTTTTATCAGAAACCCTTATGAAATTCACTCACAATTGAACTTCTTATGTTTGTCTGTGTCCCCTGATAATTTATGTGATTTAGGTTTGACATGCCTGCACCAACCATGACCCCAGAGTTGCAGAAAGATCTCCAATTACTGAAGGTACGGTAACTCCTGTTTTGTTTCGGTTCTTTGTTTCCCTGGCACTAAGTTGTAATCATCTATATCCCTTGTTTACTGGGTTTTGCGCTTGCATCAGTATGAATTTAACTCTTATTATTGAGCTGTGTGTGCTTTAAAAATATCCAATCTTGTACGTTGGCTCCTGGCTTCCTGCATCAGCTGAATAAAACAAATTATAAGATGCTGTGTTTTTAGAATTTTTGGGACTTATAGTTAACCGTGAATCGTGATATTGGATCTATTTCTACTACCTTGGAGGTAATTCACATCAGACAGTCTGTCAACACTAATCTCTAGTATAGAAGACCTAATAAAAGCTAATCTAACCTGGAAGTTTACATTTTATGGTACACTTACCTTAGTATCATTCCAAGTCCTTATCAAGTTTCGGCCGTGACGAAAGTGAACCATTCTCAAATGCTAACACAGTCTATAGTAAGTGTCCTTTTTTCTTGTCCAGTTGCAAACCTTGTATGTGGGAACATTAAACAAGCTGATAATTCCTTGGAATCTGGAATCAAATCCGATATTCACTTCTTTTGCATTTTCCATGATTCCACTATTGTTCAAATTGTTTGTATTGTTAAAGTATATCAATTGGTATCTCTTTGAACTTAGTGTGAGTTATGCATACTCATGCACCAATTTATTAGCTTATTGACTTGAAGGGTTAATTCATTGACTTGAAGGGGTCATCCATTTGCAATTATTGTTATAATTATTAACCTCTGAATTTTATGCTTTCATTTATGCTAAAAGGAAGTTTAGTCGACTGATTTGTTTTGCTAATGGTTACAGTTAAGGAATGTTATGGATCCAAAGAGACACTACAAGAAGGGTAATTCACAACCTAACAAGTATTTCCAGGTGAGAATATAGTATCTTGATTACATTACAAGAAGCCATTCATAGGAATGTATTAGTATAGTCGTCACATTTTTCTTCCTTTGGTTGTTCATCAGGTAGGTACGGTGATAGAGTCCCCGTTAGATTTCTTCTCAGGCAGACTTACAAAGAAGGAAAGGAAGACAACCCTTGCAGAAGAGCTGCTTTCTGATCATACCCTTGGGAACTACAGGTGAGATACCCAGAGACATTCATTGTGTCCAAATTCTGAAGCAATACATTTGCTTTAAGGATGATTCTATTGGCATCCGAAAAATTTTAAACTTCAGAATATTTATTGAAAAAAAAGTGAAATTAAATTTACCGGTCATGGATGATCATGGCGAGGTCATGCCCACCAGCTGGCAGCAGGGAAGGGGGTGGTGTGGGGGTAGGAGGATGTGGGACGAGGGATTTTCTTTTCAACTTAAAAACAAAAATTGAAAAGAGGAAATTTGGGTTTATAAAAGAAATTTTTTTGGAGAGAGAGGAGGGGGGGCGCTGTGGTAGCAAGTTTTGGAGTGCCAATAGTCCCACATGCATTTAAATTTAGATATAAATATTTGAAGAAGTTGGGAGAAATCATATGATATGCAGCGTATTATGCTATAATGTATCTTTATGCTGTAGTTATGAAAGTTCAGTATTCTTGAAAAGCTGAGTATCTCTATGAAATACAAACAAACCTTTAACTATGCTGTTGTTTGTTTCATGAATCTGCCTTTTAGAAAGCGGAGAGTACGTGAGATAGAAGACAAAAACCGGCCGGCTGGAAATGAAAAATGGAAGATAAAGGGGAAGAAGTCGTATCAGCGTGCAAAGCAAAGAAGGCTCTGATATGTTTTCACTTTGACCAGATTTTTTTGGAAATCCATGAAGCCTGATAGGTTTCTGTCAAATCAGAGAAAGATATTTGGTCGCTGTCAAATCAGAGAAAGATGTTGTTAATGTGTAACTGTACCCATAGAAGAAACATGTAGTTTCAACTTTTGATGATATATTACCATCTAGCTCAGACAGTACGCTACTGAGTAACATTAATTTTTGTTTTTGTTACATGGTTTGCAAATTTCAAAGGATCGAGGCTTCTTGTTAGTGGAAATTTTATTGATGATGAGATACTCTGTTAGCAAAGATGTCGAGGTCGTAAGAGATTAGACGATCACCCAGCAAGATTCTGCTTTAAGTGTGTAGCCAGATGGTGCACCCGGCTCTGGCATGTCATATCATCTTATTTGATTCTCTTGAACATGAACAGGTACTTTGTCACCATGACTTGCAAAAAGGTTACTAATAATTTATCAACTTCGTTTAATGAAAGTTGATTTCTTTTTCGGCCAGTTTCATGAAAGTTTATATTGAGTCATGATTAGTTACTTAGAATGAATATTGAAACTATTTCAATTCCTGACTTCTCTTGAATTTATTAATAAATGCATACTCAGAAATTATGTGTTACAATGAAGAATTAGTTAGGGCCAGACTAGAATCACTTTCGGGGAGAAGCACCTTCATGTGCCTTTTCATATAATCACTTTTGGTGATTTTAAGTGATTCTAAGTGATTCTAGAGAGAAGCACCTCTCATGTGCTTCTCTATAAATATGGAGAAGTGAATCCCCCATTGAAGTGATTATTAACCTATTAAGAATCACTTAGAAACGAGCCTTTAATTTCATACCCATTCATTTTGACTCCGGATTCATTCCTCATGACATATTTTAATTGGCTTATCACATCATATTTTAATTGGCTTAGCAACTAGCGATACGTATTGGCGTAAACTAACATCACAGGGTGATTAGAAATGCTAAAAGGGCCAATGTGTTAGATTAACATGGAAAAGAGTTATGTAGAAAGAGTTGGTAGAACAGTCTTTACGCATAAGACCGCCACACGACTTGATTATATTATATCCTCCTTCCCCTGGTGAGGTTGACTCACACAGACAAAGACACAAGAAAACTGCCAATTTTCATTAGAATAAAAAAATTGACAGCAAATTTATCTCCTTTACAATAAAATATGACACTTTTAACTTATAATATTCCCCTGAATTAGTTTGAAAATTCAACTGTATCGATTCATTCACATAGAAACACCACAGATTCATCATGGCAAAGGCTCCTGTGAATCTCCCAAGCGAGACAAATGGAGATATGCGTCAGTCCCTGTGCACATACATGACACAAATATCCGCAAGTCAGAAAATTTCGGTGGATGAAGCAAAAGAAAATGACATGTGATTTTAAAAAGAGATCAAAAGGCAAGTCAAATATATAACGACAATTTTACAGTCGGATTTAGAGAATATAATACAACTCGAGTGTAGAAGATTACCCCTTCACAACTCAGAGAAGAAAGCTACAAACAAATTGGAAGACTCATGATATTTTGAACGCAACGTGCTTGAAAATGTGGAGAAAGCAATGTGCAGAATATTCAGTGCATGAGGCAAAAGAAAATGACAGGTGAAACCATGTAAAACATAAGATGGTTAACCAATGACATAGACAAGTAAAATTTATTATCTATTTATGGCAACTACTGGAGTTGCCCCTTAAGAATTTTGATTGTGAAGCCTTGCTAATTATGTATAACATTATGAACGCAACAGGCTTGAAAATGTGGATGAAACAGTGAGTAGAACTTTTGGTGCATGAAGGAAAAGAAAATGACAGCTGATTTAAAGAAGAGATCAAGAGCTAGTGAATCATACAGATGATCAGCTAATGACATAGACAAGTATTTTCTCTAATTACGATAGCGTATGGCTAATGCCAGAAAATACCCCTTCAGAACTCAGAAGGAGAAAGAAAGGTGCAAACAAATGGAAAGACTTTGATTGTGAAGTTTTGCTGGAATAATCTAAATGGAACAGGTTTTGGAATTAGTCAACTCACCATATCCTTCCATTGAGATAATTTGCAAATCTCCTCCAAAATACCTAGCATACAAGCGACTTATAGGAAGCCCATATCCATACCCAGCCATTGTAACTGCATCAGCTTCAGAGATTTCTGAATGCTCATCCAAAGGGTTCCTTGCAGTGCTGTAAAGATATGTAAAAATTTTGGGGAGTCCACTTCTTGGTATGCCACCCCCCTCATCTGAGACCTATGAAGTCAGCCAGACCAACTTGATAAGCATTTCATTGTTGAAGTAGTAAACAATTGAAAATATCTTGAAATTCTCTAAATTACACTAAACAATACCTTGATAGTAACATCCTCAATTCCATCGGCAACTATTATTCTAACACGAGGTGCAACTTTGTCCGAGTCCATGTACCGCTCTTGGACAGCACGCAAGGAGTTCTTAACTAACTCGAAGACCATAGTATGCAAGTGTGTTGGAACATACCTGTTATAGAAACTAACAAAACTTCATTTGTTGGACAATATCATATCACCAGTCACCACTAATAGGTTCAAAGTGAAGAGAAAGAAAAAAGAAGGAAGGAGAAAATATCGATATCGATTAGAAACAGACCAACCAAGTGAGAATAAAATATACTTACGGGAATGTAAAATCAGGATCCCCATAGATCTTAACATTAGGTGCGCTGCCATACTCCCGTTGGCAGATTGCGCGGGCATCCTCACTAGCATTTCGTGCTACCTCCACAGGAGACATTTTTGTATGTATATAACCCACAACATGAGGAGGGGGGTTGGGATTGTGCAACTCGACATGCTGGCCTGAGTTCCACAGAGATTTTAGAACCCGGTGAAAGAAAAGTGAAATATCTAGCAAAACCAGCCAACTAAAATATCACAGTAAGAAGGCAATCTGACCAATGAGCATGCGAATTCCAATTCTTGACATGTAGAAGCGATCCAAAAATTGGTGAATCTCATCAAGATCCTCGTAGACAATCCTCGGATTTATGCCTTTCTTCAACTGTTGAACGCCCAAAGCCATCATTGGGACCACGTTATTGTGTCTTACCTTAATCGCCTTAATCATTTGTGTAAATTCCTTCTCATCATTAGCATCCTTAATATCAGGAAAGGATCTAAGGTCGCGGAAGGAATCCAAATACCAATCTCGTACCTGAAAATAAAATAAAGAAAAAAATTACACTAAAGTGTATTTGTATGCCTCAAATCCTTGTAACTTGATGCTGGATGTGCTATCTAGTTAATCACCTTGTAACTCCAAACCACCAGCGCGCTCAACAAACCAAAATATTCTTAAACAAGTGCACTTAACAGATAGTTTCTGCATAGTTCACTGTCTAAAATATGAGAACAAGACCTCAGATAGTAGTTTGCAGAAAGAACAATCTCAGCCACAAGCAATTCGCATGCAGTTACTCTGAAGAATCATTTGGCAAACAATTCCAATGCATTCTTGCTTTTGAAAGCAAAAGATTGACCCTTTAAAAGCACATGTAGCCTAAGCTTTACATAAACCTTTTTGGTATAATCAAATAAAATATTAAGACAATGAATCAAATTTTATTCTGTTCGACAAAGGAATTAAATTCAAAGCCACATCATTAATTCCCACCAAATCCCATTGGATTCCAAAAAGAAAACAAATAAGAAAACGCATAATTCACAACAACAAAAACGAAAAGTACCTTCAAAACGGCAGGTTTCTCAGACAAGCCATAAGGGAGGGCCTCGAGCTCAATTGCTCGCCTAGCAATCCTAATGGGGAGCTCCTTGTGAAGAAACTGAGCGGAGATTATAAAATTCCTCGGGGTGGGTCTGGACCCAAACTCCATCATGTACCTGAGGCTCACGCCGGTCTGCTTCATACAGCCCCATCTCTGCACCTCGTTGATCAAGCTCTTGGAGAAGGACTCGCAGGCCTTCTTAACCGCCATGGCTCCACCAGCGAGCCCAGAAGCGAGTATCACCTTGGAAATGCGCAATCACCCGCATGCAAGCCTGGCTCTCACTCTCACGACAATGCAACACTGACATAGAAGATATCAAAGCCAAAGCCCCCAAAGCTAATCTCTGAGTTTTTTCTGTAAATTACAAGATACAAAATGCGCGATATATAAAGAGGACGAATGGGTGTCTTTTGCTTTCAATTTCAACCCTAGGGTTATATTTTAACCAGGGGAGGACCATGAGAACAATCAATCACCCCAATTGAGATTTTGAGGCTTCGTTTTTGTCCGGTCCTGGTTTCGGATTCTCGGTTTCTTGGTGTATCTATGGGTGGTGTGGTTCTGAGAGTCGTCACGTGCCACGTTTTGTACTGACATGCCCGATTTTTGACACGTGGACATGAACCCTTATCTCCACCTGCAGGGCAGAGGGTTTTAACCGTTTGGGTTCGCGGGAAAGCCGATATGGAGAGCTTTTACTGGGCCTGGATGGATCAGGTGAAAAAAGTAGAGGCAACACTGTGAGTGGGTGGTGGGCCCATTAGCCCATGGTCCCATTTTTGTACCAAAAGAGAGCTCATGTCAATTTGTGACGATGGCTCACTCCGGCACAAGCAGAGTGGATAATATCATAAATATATAGACTTTTTCAATTTTGAAATAGGATTTTGTGTATATATATATATATATATCTATGACTATGTCATTTTCGGATTTAAAGTTAAGCATTTTAAGTTATGGAGGTATTAGAAAAATGTTCCTGTATGAGATTATCCGATAGCTTATAACGTTTATAAACGACGATATTGGAAGAAGCAAGAATCGAACATATTTGTAAATGATATTGCGTGAAAGTTTAGTACGCTAAAACTAGTCAAGTTTTATAATAGAATTGAGTGTTACGTTTGTGATTTAGGATTTAAGATTAAGAAAATTCCAAAAGTTATGGTGAGCCCATGAGACAACAATAAGAGACTCCAATTGAGTCTTCGACAAAGAAAAATACTAAGAGAGGTATATGCAACTGTTTACACGAAAACTTTTGCTCGAAATAGAGATTATGACCCGAATAACGAATGTGCTCGATTTTCACAAACACAAAATATGACGGTCTATTTTGCTATGTCAATTTCTTGTCCATATTTCTTCAAGTGCGTATACTAGTCAACTTGTCATGTTCTTTACGAATGGGACATCAACAATTCCATCCCCTCTCAATCCTATCCTCCTCATCCTTTTTAAGATTCAAAGTCGAAAACAAATTAACTTTGAATCAGCCTTAATTAATATTAGGCGTACAATCAATTGTTTTAAGCAATATTCATCCACTTTGTTGCATGCATGCATCTCAGTTGGATTAATATTAAGCCATCAAATTAGTCTTTAATGAGATGATTAAGCGTAAGCTAATATGGTAGGATCATCGATGTATATCCTAAATCCTTGCGTATACGTTTGATTCATCATGTGTTAAGTTATTTGTAAACTTCTATAAATAATATGCAAAAGATACTATATCCTTAGGATCCCTCGAAAAGCTAATAATAATAGGGTTTAGGGTTTAGGGTACCCTAAACCCTAAACCCTAAACCCTAAAAGCTAATAATAATACATCTAGTAATGTTTCAAATATGTGATAAGTTAAACTCATACATCCATCGAGTACTTAGTGGATCCCACACAGGAAATACTTAAACGACAGGAGATGGGGATTTCTCTCACACACACAACTATGATTCCGTGATGATTTGAACCTGAGACCTCTAATTTCCAAGTTAAGGCCATTTTCTATTGGGCTAGACCCGTTGCCAAATTAATATTTAGACATTTTGGAAAGAAAACTATGTGCTTTCCAATTGTCATAAAATAAAATGGGCATTACATAGGTTGTGTGGTTAAGGCTGATACCTTGATTTTGATTAGAAAGCAAAAGGAACACAGATGTCAAAAGACTATAATGTCTGGTTTTATAACCTAGTCTTGTTCTCTCAATAACCATTCCATAGATGTGTACATGTATTAACTAGAGCAGTGAAACGAAATATTTGAAATTTGATTATTCCTCTTATCTTAAGCGATTGGTCACGACGTGAGGAGAGAGAAAAGAAGGAAAGTTTTATATGAGTTATGTTGAAGAAATGGAATATATTTGGCCATGACAACTTATTTTTCTTTTCAATTTTATGATGCAATTTGATTCAAATGCTTATGAGTTTCTTATTTATAATAAAGTGTTTGATGAAATGCTTCTAAGTTAAACAAGACTGAGAAACATGCTCGTGTTCGATTGCATAAGCTTGTTTGTCATAATAACAAATTTACATGTATGTTTCCAACCAGTGGAGGTGATTACTACAAATTATTGTTATTTGCTCTTCCAAACATGTTTGACCAAATGCCAATGGTCTTGAAGAAAATGAAGCAAAATTCGTTTTTTTTTTTCCTTTTCCTTGGTGAGAAAGGAGGCCAAAAAAGCCCAACAACAAATGACTTTTTCTAGTCTCTTTTTTATGTTGACATTTTTGGGTTAAAAGAAGGGCTTTCACATATAGGCTCATAGAGAAAAATACTTCAAGTCTAATACTTCAGAAAAATATCAAAATGTACTTTGAAGTGAAAAAATAGCGACACACTAACGTCATGTTTACTTATTAGCAGTGGTGGACCTATTAAGGCGCAAAAATGTGCAGCTGCACCTCCCCTCGCTGGAAAAGCCATCATAGATGTTGCATATTACACCCCTCCTCAGCATATTGGCCACGTTTTGGACCAGGTTTTTAAAACACACACAGCCTTTTTTTATATATTTATAAAAAGCACCAATTTAACAGGAAACCTGCCATTTCTTAGGCTTTTAATTGGGCATGCATAATTCCTTATTTAAGTGGGATTGAGAGTTCTCTTTATTTGATTGGGTTTTAATAGGGCTTGCACAATTCCTTATTTAAGTGGGATTGTGAGTTCTCTTTATAAATGACCAATTTAACATCACCCAATTTTATCAAGTGTGCGTGCATCACAAGAATTCTGCGTTTTTTTTCCCTTCTTGAGTACACCAATCCAAAGTAAGTTGAATTCATATTTTTTTATTCTTGAGCAAACGCCAATTTTGTTTATTCTTTTTTTAATAATTTTTTTTCTTATTTAACTCTCTCTTTATTGCATCTCTGCTAAAAAATTCCTAAGTCTGCCAGTGCTTATTAGGAATGAGTATTGGATTGATTTCAATTCATACTTATCATATGTTTACAACACATAAGTATTTGAATGATTCTAATTCCCGACTCCCCCTGCTATTACTAACACATAAAGAATAAAAAACTATATGAATTCCACGTTAAAATCCGTAGTTGAATACTCTCAAAATCAAGAATAAAATTAGTAGGTGAGTAGGTGAGTAGTTGATCCGATTTCCATTCCTTCATTTCTCTATTTAAGTACCCCAATTCATGGCGATGGAGGGAAAAAATGTTGTTGCCAGGTGTCCCGTCCCGTCATAAAGATGGAGGGTCCAAGAAAATGGCTCTCGGTGGGTAGTGTTATCATTGCTCTCTCAGTCGGACAGGCGAGGAATTTTATTTGAGCGCGTTAGCTGTTCGAAATCCACCCAGGCAGACTGACAGCGCATCATTTCCAATCCATTTTCCTCCTTCTCATTCCCAACTCAACTCCCTGTTTTTTTGTTTTGTTTTTTTGTTTTTCCAATTATTATAATTCATAAATGTTCTTTTTCCCCACAGTACGTCTTTTGCTGTCTGCTAAAGTAAGCCGCATAGAAAGGGTGTGTTCATAATCTCACGATAAATTCTACTCCTATCTCGTTTTGTCTATCACAGTTAAACAACCCCCACAATACACACAGAAAATAGGGGATATAAAAGTTAGATTGCATACTCTCCAAATGATGAATGTTATTGTTAAACTTGCAAGTTTTCAAAAAGTTTAATATCCACTGCTCCACGCAATCCTATTTTATTTGAGTCTTGATTTCGTTACATTCTACTACGATTAGTTGAAGATTATTTCAATTTCAGTTTTAGTTCGTTAAATGAGTTATTTGGGATTGAAATTCCCATATTAATTATCCAGGAATGAAAATAAAATCCTCTTATGAAAAACATAACGTGACATATCTAGTATGGTGATAGAACATTATCCGAAAAAAGAAAACCAAGTCTCAAATTGAAGGAGTTAGCAATGGAGTTTATCTTCCATTGCATTATAAGATGTAACAAAAAACAAAAACAACCGAACAGAACATTCTTAACAACTTTTCAGATGTTTCTTAAGCTCTTATAACTAATTTGTCGCGAAATTTCATTAACTCACGGTCCAACGGCACCATATTAGCGGCTCATGTTAGACATTATAGCCTGTTTGCTCTTTGAGAAATAAATAAATAATTTTTGCTTAATCACAAAGAAACAAAGAAACTTAAAATAAAATAAAATACATATTTTTTGGACAACAATCAATTACCAGACAGCGATTCTTTCTCACCCTCTTTCTCTTCCTTCCACGCTTTTAGTTTTTCTTTTTCAATTTTCTCACAATTTACCCTCCTGAATTTTTCTGTAATCTTTTTCAATTCTTGTTATTTTTCGAGAAAAATAAAGTTTCGATTTTTATCCCAAGGAAGAACACCGTGGAGGATTGCAGTTAGGGTTTCGTTGTTAAACCTCCAGCAAATCTCAATCCGGAGCAACAGATGCTGTGGAGTTTTGCAAAATCGTAGTAAGGGGAAAGGTTAGGGTTTTCTTGCGGATTCGATTTCGGAGGGGTTAGTCTCTGGCAACCATGGCCAGCAACTTGCCGATGAGTCCTCAGTTGGAGCAGATCTACGGTGAAATCCACGATAATTTTCGAGCCCTCGCGTATGTCTCTGTGTTTCAGTTGCATTTTAATTTTTATCCATACTGAATAAAGATCATGGCTTTTCGTTTTCTTAAGTGCCTGAACTTTTCTATGCATTGATTGTTGAATTGTGAATTCGGTGATCGGATGTTTTCTCAGAATCCTAGCATGTTTAGCAATTGAAGAAAGACAATTCAGTTAGAGGGATGTCAGGATATGTAGGATGTTGTATTGCTCAATAATCAATTTGTTTGTTTTGTAATGTGTGTTCCTATTCATTCTCAATTAAGTTAGATTGATGCTCGTAAACTGTAGTTAAGCATTATTAACTTGCCTTAGATAGAGTTACTGAGGCGATTTAAAGAGTATACGTGCTTGCTCAGCTGTTCCTGTAAGAGTTTACATCTGTGCAATGTTTTCATGTAGTGTTGAGTAACATTGGCTGCTCTTTAGAAACGCATACAGATTTTCTAGTTTTCAAGGCTCAACTTGGTCTTTTGATTGTTTGCGTAAAGCATTGATGTCGGTTATTTATGGAGATCCAATACTCCAATGAATAAAATTCTTTTGGTTATGTTCTTGATGGATCACTATTTACATCCATACTACCTAACGGGCAACTCTATATGCCAGAAGTGCATCATTGTTTCCACATCTACTTAAAAATTATTTTGACATCCCTACTTGAAACCCCATGGAAGCAGCAACCATGATATACTTTCCACAAACTGATGGATAATGAGGGAGATGTTAGTCAATGGTAGCCATTGTGAGCATTTGTTCTTTGTTTACAGTCTCATTTAACTTCCGGTTATTAGGTGGTTACTGAATTCACCTGTCATGGTTGTATCACTGTTCTCTGCCTCCGTCTGACACAGTGCAGTCTTTTCTTTTTTACCATGAACCAGAGTTCTGTAGCCTGTGTTAATCTCTCTTATGTTTATGTGTTGCCAACGCCACACGGTCCTTGTTTACACAATCTTACATGTTAACTGTCTGCCTATTATTCTTCTACAAGGTGTAGTTACTGAAAGAAAAGAATAATTTATGTATTTGCAGACAATTTTTCTGTTTCTTTTGTTGGGGGGAAGTGGTGGGGTTGTTACAGTAGATACTTGTACGTCCCTGCTTTTCATAATAGAGTGATATTATTATAATTACGGTGACTTCCTCTTTGTTTTCAGAAATGGCTTCCAGAAGCTGGATAAGATCAAAGACTCCAATAGACAAAGTAAACAGCTGGAAGAACTTACAGGAAAGATGAGGGAATGTAAAAGGTATGCCACAGATGGGACTCTCTTAATTTTATCTGACTACTTTCAGAAACTTAGAATTTTGGACATTCTTAATTTTCACATTATATGAAGAGAAAGAAAAGACAGAAAGACAAATGTTGCTACATCTAATGCAATTTTTACACTTTAATGAGTCTTGCACCACCATGTCATTAGGCAATTTTGGCATCCTTAAAAATTAGCAACTTATTTGAAAAGAGAAATTAGGAGTAGAACCATGAGAGCATCCTCAGTTTAACTGGGATCAAGATGTGAGCAACTTTATACAAGTCTTGCATCCTATTTATGGACTCCCATACATCTTTTCATTTGTGATCAGTTTTGGGGATGTTGGAAGAATTCAGGTATGGGATGATTGTCATGATGGCATATGAAAGAATAAAATAAATAGGAATTATTTTTATCCCAGTTCTTGAGATTTTCCCTTTACTTAAATCACAGAGTATGATTTTGTAAATTCATTGTTTCAGATTAATCAAAGAGTTTGACCGTGAAATCAAGGATGAGGAGAGCCGAAATCCTCCTGATGTGAATAAACAACTCAATGATGAGAAGCAATCTATGGTCAGTTGTTATGAGCTTTTGTTTTTCGCATCACATAATGTGTACATGTACACTGTAACACATGCATGCTTGCAAACTTGCTTACGACTTTTGAATTGAAAATGTTGTGAGAGCAATATTTGTTTCAGATTATTCTCATATGCCATTTTTATGTAATTAAATGATATTGTTGAATTTTTTCTCTATTACAAAGGTTTATAACAGTGTCCTTTAATTCTTGTGTAATAGTTTTTGTGTGAGGAAACTAATCTGGGGATTGATATTTTAATGCACAAGATCTTTCTAGGCACACATTTGATTCCTTCTACTTTTTGCTGGTGTAACAACTGCATCTAATTATCATACTTCATTTTGCAGATCAAAGAGCTGAATTCATATGTTCAATTGAGAAAAACGTAAGTTCAGCTATGCATTTTGTATTCTTGACCATTACTTACTTACTCACTCATGTACTCTGGAATCTGATTGTTTTAGTTTGTTACCTTCAGTCCTCATATTCACGGGACAAACAAGTTAATCCCCAACTATAGAAAACTATTGTACAATACAGTTTTTGAAGCCTATAAACCCCCTTCACTCTTCATGTTCTGGGTTCCCTTGATTTTGGAAAATGATATTCATACTCTAGATGAACTGCAGGTTTATGAATAGCCTTGGAAACAAGAGAGTCGAACTCTTTGATATGGGGGCAGGAGTTAGTGATCCAACTGCTGATGACAATGTTCAAATGGCTTCAGGTAAGTTCTTATCTTTCTGCATATCTGTCAGCTTAGTTTGATTATGTAAAGATGAGCTTTCTCCTACTTCAGTTTGTTTCATTATTTTAGCTGTTGATTATCCGATGCTAGTCAGCCTTGCACTCCTTTGATCAGTACAATGTAAATGTGAATCAAACTTTGAAAACATCAAACTGCTTGGAACTTTGTGTCTATTCTGTGCTTGTTTCATGCCTGATTTGAAAATAATACATTTGTCTGACCTCCTTTTCAATTTACATGTATGTCTGATAGCTATGTCAAATCAAGAACTAATCAATTCTGGGACGAAAACAATGGACGAGACAGATCAGGTCATTGAACGCTCTAAAAAGGTGAATAGCTATCCGAAATAACACAAATTTTAAATTTGCCCTTCTTTTTTCCTCTTTCCAGCAATCGTAACTCTTTAGTTGGCCGATAGGTTGTTGAGCAAACAATTGAAGTGGGAACTCAAACTGCAGTTACCTTAAAGGGCCAAGTAAGTATTTTCACCTGTCATTTCTATTAACTTTCATTTCAAGAAATTAGCCTAACATGGTTTCACTCAAAATCTTGCAGACTGAACAAATGGGCCGCATTGTGAATGAGCTCGACACAATTCAGTTTTCAATTAAGAAGGCCTCCCAGCTTGTGAAAGAGATTGGTAGGCAGGTTAGTTGAGATCCTTCCCCCTAAGTGGTCTATCCGTATATTTTTCTATGAAAAACTAATTTTTTTTCAATATTTTCAGGTGGCAACAGACAAGTGTATCATGCTTTTTCTTTTGCTTATTGTTATTGGTGTAATAGCAATTATTGTTGTGAAGGTATGCTCTTTGGTTCATTTATATATTGCCCTAGGTTTTTGTAGCCTGCTACCTGTTTTGGAAGTTGCATATGAAATTACGTAGGTATCTGCAAAGTTGTATTTTAGGAACTTTTCGTAAAGGAAATCTGTTGATTCCAGAGTTTGGAAAGTTCTTTCTAATTGAAAGAGATGCAATACAAGGGGAATTCTTATCTCTTTTCGTCTCCCCCTAGGTAGTTAAGGATGTCATGCATGGAAGATTTACGCTTTCATTCTCTGAAGTGAGTGTTGAAAATCTTCCTAGCGAAAAAGTGAAATAACAAAGAGAGTTGAGTATTTAAAAATGACCATCTTATGAATCTTTGAAATGCAGTCACCTCTACGAGTTTGATTTATTGGGAACCTTGATGCTGCTCTACGGTGATCACTTATTATTGAACATTAAAAGTGGATTAGTGTGTGTCGAATATTAGTAATACTAATAAAAGATCCAACATTAATGCTTCGTCCTGCTTGTGAACCTGGGCTTTTTTCCGTTGTATCATGTCATGTACATTAGTACCAGCACTTTTGCCCCACCCGTCTCTGTTCTTAACTTGAGTGTGTGCTACTCTTTCAGATTGTGAACCCTGGCAACAAAAACATCCGGGATATCCCTGGATTGGCACCGCCTGCTGCAAGGAGGCTTTTGTCACTGAGTACTCTGCAACAGTTTGAATAGTTTCCTCCTCTTTAACCAGATTCAATTTTTCCGATATAGTTACTATGATTTGTGTTCTTGGGGTGCAGAGGAAGCTCAGAGGAATACATTGCATTGATCGGTCTTTTCTTTTTATTTATACTTTCATTCTTGGCTGAGTTGTGCATATTGTTTGTGATTCTCTATGTAAATCACATGCGAGTCCTTTTTTGCTTTGGTTTGGGTGGCCACAGTTCTTTCTGTAATCTTTCCAAGATTGTTTTAGGTATAGAGAGATGTACTTTATTCTATATCTACTCACATAGAGATGTATGCCCTTTCTATCTGTATGCAGACTATTTTAATTTCTAGTGAATATGAGAGCGCCTTGTTGAAAAAAAATTTGTCTCTGCCTCTTTCCGAAATTTTCTCATTAGAGAGAGGAAGTGTTCAATCTGTACAGTGAAGAAATGAAGACGGTGGGACGAGGGAGGGTGGCAGGTCCAAACACAAAGCTGTCTGATGAGGAATTTTGTCTACAAATATGTCATCTTCGATTCTTGTCGTTGCAGTCTAACAAAATGTACACACACAAAAGGAAATCAGAATGGAATTTGCATGCTTCTAATCTAATTTTGTTTTAATCCAATAGTAAGCTTCTTTGTTTTCCCAATAACCCATTATGATTTATGATGTTATAGATGGCTACAATTAATTTCCTCAACACACAAACAACTTGACAACAATTTCTAACAATACAGTTTGGACTCAATTATATTAACACAATGAGATTGACAAACGCACCAACCTCTTTGCTATCAGAATGCTCCGAGACCGACTTCCCAAGCCCGGTGGAATTATCGATCCAAGCCAGAACTGAACCCAGAATTGCAGTGAAGTAAACCCGAGTTTGAAGATTATTTACGCGGCAACATTTTTTTTGGTTGATCAAGAAACAACCGGCCACGTGGCAATAACTTGGCCACTCTCCAAGTACCACCCCAAGATCCTGACCGTAGAAAACGGAACCTGAGGCGTAGAGTTCAAGAGTTAATATATTCCAACGGTCGAATTGGATTGACTGCATTTTAATAAGATACACCTGAAAAGAGAGATGGAAGAAGCAGAAATCCCAGAAACCCTAATCGCGGAGGAGGAAGAAGCAGAAGAAGGACGATTCTTCGCATGCTATCTGTTGAGCTCTCGCAGCCCCCGCTACAAGGGCCACACCTATATTGGGTACCTTCCATCTTCCCCTAATTCCCTTTTTTTTTTCTTTTTTTTTTTCAAATTCCCAATCTGTTGAGAATAATAAGATCAATCTTGATTTGAACATTTTCGATCTGAACTTCTTTAAAGTTTGAGACTTTCTTGTAGAGCTTGGAGTTATAAGAGAGCCCACTTGAACTCTGTGCCTTTGTTTGGGCTTATTTGGGTGATTCTGATACAGATTCACAGTGAACCCACGGCGTCGTATAAGACAGCACAATGGTGAAATAGCGCAAGGTGCTTGGAGAACGAAGCGGCAGCGTCCATGGGAGATGGTGTTATGCATCTATGGTTTCCCAACTAACGTTTCTGCTCTCCAGGTCTCTTCATTTCTTTCTTTTGTTCTCTTTACAATTAACTTGTCTATGGATTGCTCTGTTTGATCTGTTTGTGTCTTTAATTTGATTGACTGGGACAAATTTCTTGAGAATTATATTCTGATAATTATGTGACATTTGAGGATATTTCCAGCTTGATTGGGACCCGTCTTGAGTAGGCACCAATTCTAGGATCAATTTGGGCCTGATTAAGATTTGACTAATTGGGATTGAAGGTTTTTTATTATTATTTTAGGATTGATATTAATTGGAAATTTGGGACCTTCTTTCTAATGTTCCCTTTGGAACTTTGCAGTTTGAATGGGCCTGGCAGCACCCAACTGTATCGAAGGCGGTTAGGCAGGCTGCTGCAAGCTTTAAATCACTGCGAGGGCTTGTCAGTAAGATCAAACTTGCATACACCATGCTCACTCTCCCTCCTTGGCAGAGGTATCATCTTATTATCTTCCTTGTGAGTTGTGAATGGATGAATACTTATGCTTTTGCTGTTATTGATGGAAAGTGATATTGTTTCTATGTATCATCAGCTTGAACATCACTGTAAACTTCTTTTCAACACAGTACACTAAACATTCTGCTGGTTGCCCACACCTTCCGGAACAGATGAAGGTCAAAGTCTGCTCCATGGATGAGCTTCCTTCCTGTACTAAACTATCTGATGACCTTTTGGAAAATGAAGATGAGCGGTGTCATGAAGGGGAATGTGATGAAGATATGAATTCCAGTACACTACCCAAAGAAACCTTATTGGACTTCAGGACTCATAATTCAGCAGATGATCAGCAGAGTGATAGTGGCAATAGAATGAATGAAGTATATGGATGCAGTAAAGAAGTAGGAGAAGATGAGTGGTATAATGGAAAAGAAAGTGATGAAGCTATGAATGATGGTACATTACAGGAAGAGACATTTTCAGATCTTATAGTTCAAAGTTCAGCAGATGATCAGCAGGATGATACTGGCAAGATAATTAACGAAGCATATGGATGCAGTGAAGTAGTAGGAGAGGATTGTACAGAGCAATTTGGTTTTATGGCGTCGCCAGTGAGAACGCCATCTTCAAATGTCACCACCTCATTTGACACAGAAGTAACTAAAGATATAGGTTTGTGTGGATCTTCTGATGACATGAGTGTTGATTTGGGCCTACCTGCAAGGGAACAATCGACAGCTATAGTTGCAGACGATGATCAGTCTCCCAGCAGAAGCTATCTCCGGCCTTGTGGAGCTGAGGTAATAGATTTGACAACCCCAGCTCCCCTATGACATGACTGGTTCTCCCAATTTCATCCAACTGTAGAATAGAATGTTGTACATGTGTACTACAAACAATCAAACAAGTGTACATATATGTTTGATGATTTTATGGTTTGGTCGAATAATTTAGAGGAATTTATTGTCATCTCTGCCTGATGGCACGTTGTAATCACAATATATAGTAATAGCCTTCTGGTTCAAGTCTTACAGTTTGAATGAAATAAAAGATCTTTTTTACTCACTTCACTTGCTACATTTTATTCTGTTATTGTATATCACATATCATCTGCTCTATGAATTAAGAGACTGGAAGTGTTGCTAATTCTTTGTTGGCATACTAGTGTTTCCAAGTTAATTAGAGCAATTTTAAGTTACAGGTAGCTAGCAATATTTGGTCAAATTAACAAATTAAGAGTAAATTTACTAGACAAAAAGAATCAGTTCATTGATAACTCAAAAAGGTACACAACTAAAGAAACTAAAGCCAATAAAAATCGTGGTACAAATATATTCATCAATACTCAGTTCTCTGTACACATTGAAAATTAGAGAGCTACAGCCATCGCTTGTAGAATAATTCCTTATACACCAACCAGGAGCTGATTTAATATCGCTTGGGACCAGTTAGACAATTGGCTACTTTGGGTTTCACCAATCGGATCAACATCATGAGAGACCACATTCTCAAAGTTACTTGGGCTCCAAGCTTCACCAAGTAGTTGTTCCATGTCGGCCATCGTATTTTCCTCAAAGATTGTCAGATCAATCGGATCAAATTCCACAAGATCACCACCAATTGGACTAGAAGAGCAGCCTTGTTGAGATGATGATTCTGTTGATCCCATTTGATCATCTTTTTTCATCTTTTTGTTTGTGTTCATCTTCTTTTCTTCTGTATCTTGTGATCCACGCTTTAGATTTGTTGCCTTGATCCCAACCCTATCGTTCTTCCTCATCCGACAAATGACGAAATCAAAATCGTAACTACGTTGATTGTAGTCATTCTTGGGACCATCGAAAAGACTATATTCATCTAGTAGCCACCCTGTGTGATCCTCGGAACCTTTATTCTCGTAGCGAAACTTTCTCTTTCGGCCAATGGGGTTTGGGTTGGGATTTCCAGAGACCTTTTCATGAACCAATTTGGAGGATTCAGTTTCGCTCCAAGTACCCCCGTTGCCAATCCTTCGATCCATCCGCTTGGGGGTTAACTTGTTGAGCTTGGAGATGAAGTACAAGTCTGTATCAACGAGTTGCGGCCCTCCGTATTTTTTCCAAATCTCGGAAGGCTCTGTGTTGTTGCCGAAGAGATTGCAGGAATGGATGAAATTGTTGTATAGCGACATGAAGGGCTTGCTCTCTACCAAAAACGGGTAGAGAAAGGAATCCACAATCTCTTCATCGGAGGGGCTGAAACGAAAACCTAACGGCACAAGAGACTCTTCCATTGCTAATTAACCAACACAAGAATGCTGCTAATTAACGAACAAAAGAAAAGAGAGAGTAGAAGAGAAATCAAGTTTCAAGTGAAGTTTTTCTCTCTGTTTTGTTGCCAACACTCACACTCACAGAGCATCTCACTCACTCACTCACTGCTATTTATAAGTTTCCTTGGCGAGCATTTCACTCACGGAATCAATGTGGTAATTAAACAACTAGTGCCTCTCAACTTTTAACTTTGAGCATCTCACTCACGTAATCTGGAAACTCCTTTTCTTTTCTTTTCTTTTTAATTTTAGAGAAATTCGGAGAGTCGGTTCTCGGTTGTGGTAATTAAGGAAGGAGTGCTGCCTGTCAACTTTTAACTTTGACATCCAACGGCCCAGATAATAGTACCGTTGACATCCAACGGCTTATTGTGCGAGAGTTAATACGGGAGAGAGAGAGAGAGACCGTGTCCGAATAGTTAGTACTTAGTGGGAGTGAGAGAAAGATCAATTCCATCTTTGTTTGATTTGTTTTTGGTTTTTTGTGTGCTGTTGCTTCAATTTTTATTATTGCATCATTTTTATTTAATGTTTCATTTTTAAGTGAAATAAAATTGTGTTTGTAGAATTTTGATTTTTATTATTATTTTAATTTGTTCAGAAAAATAAATCTCTGACGTTGATGTAGGCACGAAATTGGCCGGACAATCGAGTTTGATGATTATGGGGGAGGGACGAGAAGGGGCTCTTGTTCTTGTTGGGGTTTAGGGTTTGATAAGGATGTGAAGAGAAAAGGGTTGAGAGCACAAGAGTGGAGGAGGAAGAGGTCAATGTTGAATTTTCGGGATTGGGATTGAGAGTGAGGTGGTGAGCTGAGAAAGCACAATCACTTTGTACTTGTTATAATTGAATTATTAAAACAACAAATAAATGCAAGAGACATGAAGGTTGTTGGGAGGAGTTGTAGATGAAGTAATGCTTTCTTGTATAGGTTTTGGACTGTCGGTAACTTGCCAGACTACTTGCCTACTCCTCAATCATTCCTTGTACTTGGTGCTGGACTGGGGTGAGGAGTGTGTAGTGCTGGACTGGGGTGAGGAGTGTGTAGTTTGCCTCGTCGCAAATTGGCCTCAATCATTCCTTGTACTTGGTGGTGGACTGGGGTGAGTGTGTAGCTTGCCTCGTCGCATTAGTAGGTATGATTCTGAACTTAGACTCGACTTGCATTTTAGTCTGCACAACTCAAAAAATGAGGTAATAAATTTTAGTCTGCACAACTCAAAAAATGAGGTAGTAAGTGTGGTCTTGTTAATGTTTTAACTACCAAACCCATCACCTTCAACAAAATTTAAATTTAAATTTTTTATAAAAAAAAAAAACGTTTTTGACCCAGGATTCTACCGGACCGCCTGGACCATAAAAAGGAAAAATGCATCATTTGTCAAGACAAAAACTTGTTTTTCTTATCAAGAGCCTTGACAAGTTAATAGGGTCCTAAGCTACCATCTGCAAATTTCAACAGGCAAATCATGCATTCACTTCCTACAACTGAAAGTAATACAATATTGCCCCTGGGTTTCCGCGTTAAAATCTCTTTCCTGGAAATAATAAAGGGTCTAGAGTGCAAAAAGAATCAGCATACTCCAATCTCCAGATTTTCCTTTTCCAAACATCAATCTACACGTGAGTTCATGAATCATGCACCATGGTTGCCAACCTGCGATCGTCCAATATGAGACAGCCTTGTTGATTGAGTTAGGGGTGTCTCTTCATCGACATCGATATCAGAGGCTGATCCACTGTTGTTAGGGATAAAAATATCAGATGACTTTTTCTCCAACTTCCAATCCTGTATTGGCCAGCATGGAAAACAAGTGTTAGAACAAATATATGGGGGTTCAATGACTCCAAACATTTTATTAACACTAGACATCACAGGAAAGTAATCAGATTCTTGAGAAAATAAACCTTTGAAATTCTCTCCGGAATACTTTCAGAAGGTAGTTGAGATGCTCGAACATCCTTAACCTTTATATAGTTGTACATGACAACACCACACAATGCTGCAGGACAAATCAACTTATGGGTTAACTAAAGTTCTAAATTCAAAAGTGTACACACTGCAGTCATAAACTGATACTCCCAGTTAATATGGAAGGAGAGCTACCTATGGCATAACCAATTATGTTCAGCCTGGTAATCATAGACTCTGGAAATATAACAGTTGAAAGGGCAATCAATATCCAGTCTTTTAGAACACCAGCAACCCGGATGGTAACTGCTCCAGTTCTACCAATTACTAAGAAAATGGAGAAGTTCAACGCCAAAGCACAAAGAGCATTGGAGAAAAATATCCAGAAGTTGAACTGAATCTGTGAAACTTCCATGGAAGACTTCTCAAGTAATAACCAGGGCACAGACAGGAAGACAAAGCTGCAAAAACAAAAGAATTAATGGTGAGATGCTGATGGGATGGCACGTGTTAAATCATGCATCAATGGAAACAGTACTTGAGTAATAGAACTGTGTTAAATCACATGCATCATCAATACGGAGATGCATAACTTCATCATCATAAGGGTGAAAAAATAAAGGAAAGGTGAATTCCCATCCCATGGTATAGATGGATCATGCATACACTGATTGTAAGATCACTATGTTTCATCCACTAAATTATGAACCTCAGCATACAGATTCAGAAAATCAACTTTAAAAGAAGCAATAAATGTCATCCACCACCAAAATTAAATTCTAGAAATGAATCAATATCCTCTATTAAGATTGGTAAGGATGCCAAATGATTAAAAGAGTTACTTATTCATATTTTGTGCTCAACATATATAGTATACAGGCAGTCGCCTAAATTGCAATTCATATAACACTTCTAAGCCAAGCATCACAATATAATACCTGCATGGAGCAATATAGTATAAGCTGGTGATCGGATTTAGAGTCAAGCCCTTCTTCTGGAGAAGGACTTGTGTTAAGACCAGCCTAAGAGCCTCTGCAAAGATGCCCATAACCTGGTAAACTGTACCAACTACATTAAAATGAATCTCCCCATATGAGGAAATGACAACTCCAACACTGACCAGCACCATGTTTGAGAACACGTCGCACCTTGGTTTGTCAGTGCCACACAAAACAGCCATGATAAAAGTAGCCACTGGCACTGCAGCATGGAATGTAGGTATAAGCAGCCATTTATTTCAAAAGCATCATTATTGTAGTAAAATAGAATTCACGGGTCTCTGTGCATACTTAAAGCTTTGAGCATTTGGATGAACGCCACAGAAATATGCAAGTAAGCAGTGTTTCCAAACCTGTAATGCAGAAAAACAAAAGTTCAAAACAAAAAAAAAGTTTGAACTCTCCTGTCTTGACTCTTGATACAATCACACAAAGAAAAAATCAACAACCCTGCAATTCCTAAATGTGGGTATTGCATTTGTCCCCAAGTCTGAGGAAGTTCGACATTCTACAACGGGGAATCTAAACCGAAGTCCATGTATGACCACTTAATCAGAGATTGCTTAGAAAAATTTGTCTGCAAACAGATTGACAAAAGGAAACATGCAATCTCTAAGCATTGTACTATCTTAATATCTTCAGTGTTGAGAGGCATAAGCCTGGTTATAATCAAATCTACAAATGTTGACCACAAGCTTACAAATATATGTCAAGAACTGTTTAAGCTTTCTTCCCTGAGTTTGAACACTAACAGAAGACCAGACACATGATACCCATTCATGCCCATTGGTGATCGCATTGTTAGCAAAACCACAGCCCAAATATGTTACATTTCAGTGCTTACCAAAGACTTGATGCAAAGAAGGCACTGATTGGTATTACACAAGTTGCATATCTGCCACATGAAGAAAAGCAATTAGAAAAACAACTTGGATAAACAGAGGATTAATAAAGAGTTGGAACAAAAAAATAGCCTACATCACTTACATTTCAAATGTCATTTTGACAGGAGCTACAACCTGCACAAGATACAGAGAAATAAATAAAGATAAAAAATCACTTATGCATAAAAGATGAACAAAACAATAAAAATAAGGAGCTATTGATGCAATTTGCCACACATGCATAACAGAAACTACAAATACAAGCTACAAATTTGGTACATAATGTGGAAAAATGAACCAAGAAACAAAAGTTGCACAGCATGTGTACCTCCCCACACTTTCTGACAAACTAAATTTGCAAGTTCAAAATTGGGTTATAAAGCTCTCCAGTCAGAAAGTGTAAATATAAAAGAGACCTCCAAAATAAATCTTGTCCCACTCTGGCCATATAGGGCATCAGCTACATGCCGTGTCCCACTACAGACTAATCTAACCCACTATCTTTTTGGCACTCCCCTTCTCATTCAGATGTGGAAAATGCAAATTCAAGCATTGAACTGAATGAAGATGCATCAGTTTTGAGATAATTCGTGTATTAACTACTTGTAAGAGAAAAATAAGAGAATAACCAACAGTGGAGGTAAGAATCCTCACAGAAATAACAACACTGGCTCAGACAAGAGCTTAAGGTAACTAAAGTAGTCATAAAAAATTCAAAACCAAAATGGTTGGTGTGTGTGCGTGTGTTTTTGTGTGGTAATTGGGTAGAAGTGAACAGCGGGAAACAATTTTTCAGGGAAATGACATTCAATCATTTTGACTATTGGCTAAAAGAAAATTCAAGACAGTGGTTACCTATCTAGATGTTAAACTGGCTAGACAGAGATTTGAACACCGATGTCAAAAACAATAAATAGAAATAAAAGCATATCCAAAAGTAAAGATGTCGGTCATACCTTGAAAACACGAACAAGTAAAAATGCTACGAGTCCAGAAAATCCCATATGAATCATCGTAAGTGTTATGGGTAATGGAAAATTGAAGTATTTTGGAGACAGAACCCACTGCAAAGAAATTCATACAGAAGAACTTCAATAAAACAAATAGGGAGATTAAAGTTCCAGTTTTAGTTTAACCATACAGAGAATCATTAGCTATGTAACACATGGATGACTATTACATAGATATAAACATTCAAACCGGTAATGAGTAATGACAAGATATTCAAATGAAATACTGAGGAGGAAGGACTTACCTTGTTGTACAATATAACGCCTGACGAAAGCAGAATGTAGATGAACAGGTAGAAATAAGTCAGTACCAGCGGTTTGCTGATCATCTTGGACATTTCCTTCTATCAAAAGACCTAATGTTATCAAATCTGGCTTTAGACCATCTTATGCAATATTTCTCGCACACCAAACTGCAAACCGCAGATGTTATGCGGCCCTAAACCCAGAAGAAGACCTCATGCACTTAATTATAAATTTGTGTCAGGATCAAATCTTGCAATGGCTGCTCCGATTCAGATATCTAGAATGCTTTAAAACCTGAAAGTGAAGGCTCAGTGAGCAGAACATACTGCAACAGCATAACCTTAACCAAACATGAAGGAAAGCATAAGACATTTCTTTATTAAAATAAATAATAGGAAACAGTACAAAATCAGCATTGAAAGTGAAGCTGCAACCAAAATGGGCAAATGGGCAAACAAAACCATTATTAGTAACAAGCATCGAACAAGGAACCACGCAATAGTTTCTTCAATAACTATCAAGACCAACATTTCCAAATTAAACAACAAAAAGGGTAGATCTATAGGAACCAAACAACCAAGTGAGAAAAACCCAAATCAGGTTCTGATCTAACACACAAAACCCATGTCTATTTCAAGAGGAACCAACTTACCCAAGAGTCAAAATCAACTAAATCTGAACAAGCTCGCTTAATTTCAGAGATCGACCCACTTGGAAAACAGGCAGAAACAGACACAGAGAAAGAGCGAAAGAGAGAAACAGAGAGAGAGATGGGATCAGGAGAAAAAATCACTGTGGAAATAGTAGAGAGCAGTGGTTGGGAAATGACAACAATAAATAAGCCTGGGAAAGCTAAGATGATTGTGGGGTTATCGATGAATCAGAGAAACTGAGAACGTGTGGTTGCCTGAATAAGAAGAAAGAAAATTACTAGAAACCAAGTAAAGAAGCAAGCAAACAACAGAGGGCCCTTCTTCCCTTCTCGTACCTCTCTCTGTATAAGCGAAAGAGAATCCAACAGTAGCTTTGGCCGAAGGACCGGAGCGTTATGGCACTGTCTCTGTTGGTGACTTACTGGCTTTGTTTACTTTGCTAGGGACTGAATGAATCTACACGTTTTTATTATCTATTTCTAGAAGGAAACCCCTCGGTTTTGTTTTCTCCACTATTTTACCGGACGTCTAATTATCACCTAATTAATTTGAGTGAATTTATGAGGCCTCCACCACTAGAAATTATAACACGTTCACGCGATCGTACTCTAATACCATATTATAGTTACTTTTCATTACTTATAACCCATTGAATTTTTTGCATTTATACATATATATGTGTCCTAAACTCTCAAATTCGAATTCTATAAGTTATGAGTTCAAATCTCATAGATGACTCCAAAAATATACCCTTTTCATATATTGGTCCCAAAGGCTAGGTGGCTGCTATGCTCAAAATAATACCACATGTTTTATCACAAGAAGGTGAGATATGTATGTGAATGGATGAGATTTTCCCCCACTCTTGCCTTACTAGGAAGTGTGAGGACCTTGGGACCTTGTAACTTTGCTGCCACTCAATGCCAACTATGGTAAGAAATATAATCATAAACACATCTTTAACTCAATGTGTGCAATGGTAATATTAAATTACACCATGGTTAAAAGGCAGTGAGTAAAATTATTTTCCATCTCATTTCCTCACCTTCCCAATTTCAGTACTAGGATATGCATAAAGCCATTTCTGATATGGGCACCTTCTATAGTGCACCAGGTGCACCCATGCACCATTTGTCCTTTATGACGCTCCTAGATTTTTTTAAAAATTGGTTACCGGTTATACAAGTTATCAAGTTTCCACTTTTTGAAAATGCAATTGCATAAGGGTCATGCAATTATGCCCTTCTTGTTTGGCAATTGGCATATGATAGGATAGTGATTTACAGTAGTTTGGATATGAGAGTACCTACCGGTTATACAAGTTATCAAGTTTCCACTTTTTGAAAATGCAATTGCATAAGGGTCATGCAATTATGCCCTTCTTGTTTGGCAATTGGCATATGATAGGATAGTGATTTACAGTAGTTTGGATATGAGAGTACCTACCGGTTATACAAGTTATCAAGTTTCCACTTTTTGAAAATGCAATTGCATAAACAAGTTTTTGAACTATGATTACAACATTAGGGTTCACCTAATCCATAATGTTGTAAATACTCATTTACAAGGATTAAGGATGCATTTTACAATCAAATGGAACATAACTGTCCAAAACCGAGTAAAACAATACCTTAATATAGTAAAAGTTTTTGTTTACACGTATAAGAACTCAATTTACTTTCCTAATGTCCCTAGTTACCTTAATATTGTACTAGACGTCCTTCTCTTTGTAAATTACGATGTTACAAGATTAAGGATGGGGTTTACAATGCTCTAGAACATAACTATCCATAAAAGAGTAATACAAGACCTTAGTATTGTAAACATCCGAGTTTACAAGTATAAGGACCCAATTTACCATCCGAATGTTCCCATTTACCCTAATATTGTACTACATGTCTTTATCTTTGTAAATTTCGATATTACAAGATTAATGATGCATTTTACAATCACATGGAACATAATTGTCCAAAACCGAGTAAAACAAGACCTTAATATAGTAAACATTTGTGTTTACACATATAATGACTCAATTTACTTTCCTAATGTCGCTAGTTACCTTAATATTTTACTAGACGTCCTTCTCTTTGTAAATTACGATGTTACAAGATTAAGGATGGGTTTTACAATGCTCTAGAACATAACTATCCATAAAAGAGTAATACAAGACCTTAGTATTGTAAACATCCAAGTTTACAAGTATAAGGACCCAATTTACCATATGAATGTTCCCATTTACCCTACTATTGTACTGCATGTCTTTATCTTTGTAAATTACGATATTACAAGATTAAGGATGCATTTTACAATCATATGGAACATAACTATCCAAAACCGAGTAAAACAAGACCTTAATATAGTAAATGTTTGTGTTTACACATATAAGGACTCAATTTACTTTCCCAATGTCCCTAGTTACCTTAATATTGTACTAGACGTCCTTCTCTTTGTAAATTACCATATTACAAGATTAAGGATGGGTTTTACAATGTTCTGGAACATAACTATCTATTAAAAGAGTAATACAAGACCTTAGTATTGTAAACATCCGTCTTTATCTTTGTAAATTTCGATATTACAAGATTAAGGATGCATTTTACAATCACATGGAACATAACTGTCCAAAACTGAGTAAACCAAGACCTTAATATAGTAAACATTTGGTTTACACGTATAAGGACTCAATTTACTTTCCTAATGTCGTTAGTTACCTTAATATTGTACTAGACGTCCTTCTCTTTGTAAATTACCATATTACAAGATTAAGGATGGGTTTTACAATGTTCTGGAACATAACTATCTATTAAAAGAGTAATACAAGACCTTAGTATTGTAAACACATGTCTTTATCTTTGTAAATTACAATATTACAAGATTAAGGATGCATTTTACAATCATATGGAACATAACTGTCCAAAACTGAGTAAAAAAAGACCTTAATATAGTAAACGTTTGTGTTTACACGTATAAGAACCCAATTTACTTTTCTAATGTCCCTAGTTACCTTAATATTGTACTAGACGTCCTTCTCTTTGTAAATTAACATATTACAAGATTAAGGATGCATTTTACAATCACATGGAACATAACTGTCCAAAACCAAGTAAAACAAGACCTTAATATAGTAAACGTTTGTGTTTACACGTATAAGGACCCAATTTACTTTCCTAATGTCCCTAGTTACCTTAAAATTGTACTAGATGTCTTTATCCTTGTAAATTAC